CAGTCCAGACTGAGAATTCAAAGTTCCAGATGTGGGGTTTGAACCCACAAACTTCTGACTCAGAGGTGAGAGCACGACCACTGAGCCAGGCTGACACCATACTGCCCGCCCATTACAGGGTCAAGCTTTCTTGATTGCTGCTGGCTTCAACCAGCTTATTGGCAATCTGTTCCCGCTGTTAATAACTCATTTGTATAAAGATATATTTCCTAGCGTCTGTCCCGAAATTCTCCTTCACGGCCCTGAACCCGTGTCCTACTGCCTGCTGCCTTGGCATATATGAGCATAATGTTTTGTGTCCCATTTCAGGACCTAAATACCTGTTCCCCCACAAAATACGCAGTCGCTGCACTTTACAGCATGTTCTTTGAAGTGCTTTGAGACGTCCTCCTGACGCGAAAGGCACGTTATCGAATGCAATTTTTTAAATTATTTAATTATTATGATATAATAAGAATATTGTATTATTATATTTACTTATAAGTCTCCGTCTGAGATGTCTTTTCACACCAAGGAGCCCCAGCTTATCTTGTCTGAAGAACACAGAGTGTGCAGGTGCTTGGAATTGATCCTTTGACCTTTGGTGAATGGGGGATTGGGGAACTGAACTCTCACATCTCAAAGTGTTTCACGGGGATATACTATAAAGTGTAGTGACTGTGTAATTTGTATGTGAAAGCTGCAGCCAAATTGCGCACAGCAACGTCCCACAAACAGCCATGAAATGAGTGATCAATTTTATGTGGGGGATTGTTGGCCAGGACACCAGGAGAGAGAAACTCCCTTCTCTTTTCGATTAGCACCATGGGATCTTTAATGTCCATCTGAACCGATCTCTTCTCAACCCCCATTCCCTAGTTTGTCTTCCCCGGCCACACACCAGCTGTGCCTGATATTGTCGCCACCCAAACCGTTGGCATAGTTACCACAAGCCATCTGCTGAAAGTTACACATGGTCACCTTGCAACAACTTTCCTTCTGATGTATCTCTGTCTTGTCACCAAGGAATGGTTGGCTTCCACTAAGCACCTGCTCTCTGTGATCCTTTTCATATGTTTTATAAGGTGTCAGCTGGCTCAGTGGGTAGCACTCCCGCCTCTGGGTCTGAAGGATGTGGGTTCAAGTCCAAAGTCAGGACTGATGTTCAGTACAGTGCTGGGTGAGCTCCCTGTCTAAAACAACAACAACTTGCATTTATATCGTGCCCCTCACACAGGGTAGTCCCAGAGCTTTACACATGTTCAGCTGGACGTTAAAGGTCCCGTGGCGCTACTTGAAAAAAGAAAAGAGTTTCTCTTTCCCCGTGTCCTGGCCGACAATCCCCTCAGATAAAATTGGCCAATCTCTCCATGGCTGTTTAAGGGACATTATTGTGTGTAACTGGCTGCCGAGTTCACATACAAATGACACAGTCACTAAACCTTACAGTGCATCGTGTGAAGCATTTTGAGACATGAAAGGTGCTGTATGAAAGGTAAGGATTATTGTTAAATATTGTCCTGACCTCCGGGACAGGTGGTTGAGGCCAGGACACTGGGATTCGTTTAAAAATTAACTCAGTGTTGTGAATAGGAGGGTAGGTGTTCTGGAGGAATGAGATCAGATGGACTGAAGGTTCTTCACCTGAACTAATCTTGGATTGTGTGATTTTTGATACTAAGACCTTGTTTGGCTGAATTTGACAGTGAATGTCAGTGTGCTTGTGTAAGTGAATATAAGTGTGTGTGTGTAAGTGAATGTCAGCGTATGTAAGTGAATGTGTGTGTGTGTAAGTGTGGTGGAGATATATTAAAACTTACAAGAAAGAAAAAGAAAGGAAATCATTGTTTTTCAGTACACAAGGGCACTTTATGTCTATCAGATTGAAACTTTTGCAATTCAAGCGGAGTCTTTGAGTGTGTTCAAGTCATGTGTTAGCCTCCGTCTCCCGCCCAATACTTACATCAAACACTTGACAAGAAACCGACCTGAGCTTTTTTGTTGTGAATAATGATTCTTTTTATTGTCCACACAAAGGCAATAATGTGCACAGCTATGGGGTAAGAGTGCGGAGGCAATAATGGGACTAGTTGGATAGCTCAAAGAGTCGGCACAAGCACAATGTGCTAAATGGCCTCCTTCTGTGCTGTAAGATTCTATTATTCTATGACTTTTAAGAAATCAGCTCGCTGCTTCCACTCTCTGGAACTCCATCCCGGAGTCCCATCAGCACACCCTTCCCTCGCCTCCTTCAAGTTCTCTCAAGCCCTTCCTCTTGGATCGCACAACTTCCCCCCACCACCCCCTTGTCCCCCTTTCCCTCGACCCTATCCCCCAACTTGGGTGCAAACCCTAGACTGTCCAGCGCCACTTGTACCAGGTTACGGAATGAGTTTATTTTCCATTTGTTTTATTTTCAAAAGTTCCCATAGGGTGTGAAGGCGCCCAGCGCAGAGAAGATTGACGGCATTTGAAATGAACGGCAACAGATGGATTCAGGGGAATAGTAGGTGGATTAATGCAAGGCAACTGGCATTGGTCCAGGAGACAAGCAAGATGAATAGCTGCCTGTAATCGCAAGCTGGCAGAGGAAGAAGGAAATGATCTCTCAATGAGTGTTAAAAGTCAATATCAAGTTATTACCAACAAGGTTAATCAATGTTGAATATCCATTGCAAGAACTTTAGAGTGCTGGTTACAGCTGTTCACTTTCACTCAATGTTGGTTTTAATGTGATAATAATAATAATAAGCCTTGCATTTGATATAGCGCTTTTACGTCTTCTAGACGTCTCAAAGCGCTTCACAGAATATACTGTAAAGTGAATTGACTGTATATTTTGTGGGTGAAACGCGGCAGCCAATTGCGCACAGCAATGTCCCACAAACAGTCGTGGATGAGTGACCAAATTATTATTGTTATTTTTCTTGAGGGTTTATTATCAGGCGTGTGGAGTAAGGAAACTTGCCCAAGGTTTCACCCTGCCAGGAATCAAACCCAGGTCTCTCGTTTGCAAGGCGAGTGCTCTAACCACTGAGCTACAGGTTTTAAAGTGATGATAACAATAATAATCCTTGCATTTGATATAGCACCTATCACGTCATTGAGACATCTCAATGCACTTCACAGAATATACTGTAAAGTGGATTAACTGTGTATTTGTGGGAGAAAAGTGTATTGCTGGAATGAAAGTTGTACATTTGTAGAACGGATGAGTGATATCTGATTGTCTGCCATGTTTTGTCATGTTGAAGTGGAGTCCTGTAGCTCAGTGGTTAGAGCACTCGCTTTGCAAGCGAGAGACCTGAGTTCAATTCCAGGCAGGGTGAAACCTTGGGCAAGTTTCCTTACTCCACACAGAGCCTAATAATAATCCTTCCAAAAAAAACAATAATAAAATGGTCATTTTCAATCTACGGCTGTTTGTGGGACATTGCTGTGCGCAATTGGCTGCCGCGTTCGCCCACAAATATACAGTCAATTCACTTTACAGTGTGTTCTGTGAAGCACTTTGGGACGTCCTTCCGACGTGAAAAGCGCTATATCAAATGCAAGGATTATTATTATTATTATACAGTGTATTTTGTTGAATGCAAATTATTTATTACATAAATATGTTTTAAATTAATTTACAAAATAATAATAATACTTGCAATGATATAGCACTTTTCACGTCTTCTAGATGTCTCAAAGCGCTTCACAGAATATGCTACAAAGTGAATAGACCATATATTTGTGGACGAAACACAGCAGCCAATTGCGCACAGCAGTGTCCCACAAACAGTCGTGGATTGAAAATGACCAATTTATTTTTGTTTTGGAGGGATTATCATTAGGTGTGTGGAGTAAGGAAACTTGCCCATGGTTTCGCTCTGCCTGGAATTGAACCCAGGTGTCTCGCTTGCAAGGCGAGTGCTCTAACCACTGAGCTACACGACTCCAATTTATAACCTGGAAATACAATATTTTGTTTTTTTAATATATCTAATATATCTTTCATATTTAATAGATCACCCAAATAGTGCACTGTTTTCACTACAGTAATTGAAATAAGGGATAGGAAACAGAAAATAAGCATATTTATAATAATAATAATCCTTGCATTTGATATAGCGCCTTATCATATCATTGAGATTTCTCAAAGAGCTTCACAGAGTATAACGTAAAGTGGATTGACTATAGATTTTGTGGGAGAAATGCGCCAGTGAATTGCGCACAGCAGTGTCCCACAAACAGTCATGGATTGAGTGAACAAATGATATTATTTATTTTTTTGAAAGGATTATTACCCCCGGAAAGTGATCCACCAAATCGACTGACAAACAACCGGGTTCCTAGTTACTGCTATGTAAACAGAGGCGTGTGGAGTAAGGAAACTTGCCCAAGGTTACACCCTGCCCGAGAATCGAACCCAGGTCCTATGACCTGTGCTCAAACCACTACGCTACAGGACTCCACGTTTACAGTCAGTGATCTCCCATATACACAAGGGAATAAATAACAACTTGCATTTACATGGCCCCACTCATGTGGGGTAGCGTCTCAGAATGTTTAATACTGGGCTAGATTGACACCGAGTGGGGAGAAAGGATAGGTGACCGTAGGCAGGGTGGAAGAGGAAAGTCCCACAAACAGCCATGATAAGTGATCAAAATTTTATTTGTGGGGATTCTCGGCCAGGAAACTGGGAGAGAGAAACTCCCTTCTCTTCGCAAATATTGCCCCAGGATCTTTACTGTTCATCTGAACAGACATAGATGGGAACAGGGTTTAACGTCTCATCTGAAAGATAGCACCTCCAACAATGTAGCTCTCCCCCCAGAGCGTCAGTCTAGATGAGTTCAAAGTCCCGACGTGAGGCACGAATCCTAACCTTCTCACTCAGAGGTGAGTGTACTACCAACCGAGCCAGGCCGAGACCCTATCCGTATGCGGAGTCACTAGTGCTTCGAAAGCACCATGTGTAGTGACGGTGCAGGTAATGTGTAGTAACTGTGTTGGGAGTGTCTCCCAGTGTCCTGCATAGTGGTTGGGGGGAAAAAAAGAGTAAAAAAAAGAACGTCCTGTGTTCTGCTTGGAGAGTCCTGTGGGGAGATAGTGAAAGGTGCTCTGTAGTGCCCTGACCCTACCCTTGCTCACATCTCTCCCGTTCCGCACAGAGGTAGACTCGGATGCAGGGAAGAAGGCTTCTGAAAGGTTTCGGAAGGTAGGTTCCTTGCCTCGCACTCGTTGCTCCCTTTTTTTCTTGCAAAAGGAGGATGCTCCTCAAACACACACAGACTCAGTGGTCCTGACCCACTGGGGCTGATTTAGACATTACATCCCACCATCTTGGGTCTTGTCTTGTTCTCGAGCTCACTCTTGTGAAAGGCTATCAGCACTATCAGTCCAGCAGAAATCAACAGCAGCAGAAATCCCAACAACAACATGCCTAGTGAGCGAGGGAAGGACAGAAAATTAATAATAATCCTTGCATTTGATATACGGGCTTATCACTTTCTTGAGACATCGAAAAGTGCTTCACAGAATATATTGTAAAGTGAATTAACTGTATTTTGTGGGTGAAATGCAGTAGCCGATTCTCACAAACAGTTGCAGAGTGAATGACCAGTTTTATCTGGGAGATTGTCGGCCAGGACACCTTCTCTTTTCAAATAACAACATATTCATCTGAATAGGCACAGATGGGACATCGGTTTAACATCTCATCTGAAGGACAGCATCTCAAGCAATGCAGCACACCTCCAACCCTGCATTGGAGTGTCAGCTGAGACTGTAGGGGTTCCAGGAATTGATATTTGACTTGAACTCACAACCTTTTGAGTTAGAAACGAGAGTGCTACCAACTGAGCCAGGGATTTGTAGAGTTTCCCCCGGTTACCTGCTGGCCAACAATCCTCCGGATAAAATCGATTATTTCACCTGCCGTTTGTTTGTGGGAATCTTGCCGGCCACAAAATGGCTGCCACGTTTACAAATACCAAGTCACTACACTTCACAGCATTAAGCCTTTTTTAACGTTGTTGGCTCTACATTGCTAGTATCATTAGAATTAATATGAGTTTTGGTAGCAGTATTACAACTTTTATTCAGAATTGTTCATGAGGGACAGTGTCTTAGCGCACTTATTATGTTATTGAGAGTATTATTACAAAGGGTGTAATCATAATGAGTATGGTTAATGTGGGATTATTATGGATTGTGTTTATTTTGAGCATTATTAAAGTATTATCAGGATTATTTTTAATACTAATATTTTGAGTATTATTGTTGTGAGTATTATTTTTGTGCTTATTATCGTCAGTATTATTATGAGTAATAAATCGTATTAATCCTTATATTTGACACTGTTATTACTACGAGTAATAAATAATAATAATCCTTACATTTGACATTGTTGTGTTATCATAATATTTTTGTGAGCAACTTTTTATACTCTAAGATTCAAATTGTCCACCGGGCAACAACAAGAACAGCAACAATAACTTGCATTTATAAAGCGCCCCTCATGCAGAGTAGCATCCCTGAGCGCTTGACAGTGGTAGAGCGTGACGCCGAGCCAGGGGGAGGGGGAGATGACCATGGACACGATCGAAAAAAAAGGTCTTCAGCCACGAGCTGAAGATGGGGAAGGAGGAGGCAAGGTGGAGTGATAGAGGAAGAGTATTCCAGAGTTTCAGGGCGTAGTGGCTGAAAGCATAGTCACCAATGATGGAACAGAGGGATGAGGGACATGCAGGAGGCCAGAGCTAGTTGAGCAGAGTTAGCAGGGAGAAGATTGGGGAGCGAGCAGGTCATAAAAGAAAAGCGAATGAAGAGAATTGTAAATTATATTTACCAATTCTGTAGTTTAGGATTGAATCATTTTCCAACGCTCTTCCCAAATACTAAAGAGAAGAAAACATGGCAGTCAGTTAGTCCGAGATCATCACTGCCCTAGGGTGAGGATTAGAATGCTAGTTTGTGGATTGAGGCTTTAAAGGGATGTGGAGAGAACAACAACAAATTGCAAAAGGCAGGGAAATGGGATGAAAAGATCTGTCCAGATCTATTAATATTAATTACCTCTACCACTAATAATAATGATCCTTGCATTTGATGTAGCGCCTTATCACATCGTTGAGATGTCTCAAAGCCTTCACAGAATATATTGTAAAGTGATCCACCAATCGACTAACAATTGGGTTCCTACTACTTACTGCTCGGTAAACAGAGGTATGTGGCATAAGGAAACTTGTCTAAGGTTTCAGACTGGGAATGGGAATTGAACCCGGGTTCCGCTCACTTGCAAAGCGAGTGCTCTAACCAATGCTACAGGACTTCACAGGAATTACCATTTGTGCTAAACCTAATGGGACTTCACAAGACAATACAAATACAAATTTACAGTTATATACATTAGCGCCTTTCACAATAGGAGGACTTTGGACTCACTATCCAATTGTCTGGTTGATCCAATAAGCAGCTGATGTCCTTGTTCTTGTCAGTCAGAAACCTGTTCAGATGGTTTTTACTGGAGTCACTGAACATTGGGATCTCCCACAATCTGCAAGGAAAACAAAGGCAAAATATTCTCGTTATCACTGACTTCATTCAAGAGGTTGGCAAGAGGTTTGGGGGTCCCAAAGTGTTGAAGTAACTGCTGGAGTCTAACCAGCTAAACCTGCATAGCTTGCCATTGAGATCATTGTATGGCAAGCTTTCCCACTGCTTGTCCAGCTAGGACCACCCTACCTGTTAGGGCTTTGGCTTGCTGAGTGGGATGACTCCCTGGCCCCAGTGACTTGTCTACCTTCCAAGTACTGCCGATGAGCCAGGCTGGCTGTGCTGTGCCCTGGAATACTATGGACCTGCCTGGTTCAGGAACCAGATTAGAGACCGTCACGGAGGGCTGATTCGATTCCAACCATCCGTTGCCAACCATGTCACTTTGGAGCATGTTCAGCTCCAAGGATACCCTGCCTATATATAACTCTAACTGTATGTAACTCTATGCAACTCTAATGTAACTCTATGTAACTACATAAATAGTAACTACATGCCTACTCTATGGCTTGAGTATGATCTGATCAGATCGCATTGAGGGTGCGTTGCTGGTCATTCTTACCTGCTGTATCTGGACATTAAGCAAGTGCCCTGGCCAGCTGGACAATGGGAGTGCTTATCGTCATGAGGCATTCCCAGGTTGTGACCGATTTCATGCGTGACATAGTTGGCCACTTTCCTGCTACCGAGTTTCGTGTCCTGTAAACCAACAGGATTTAGTCAGTCCCCTGGCCTCACTGTACTCACTAATTGCCCAGAAATACAGTCAATCCGCTTTACAGTATATCTTGTGAAGCGCTTGACAATGTGATAAGGCTCCATATCAAATGCAAGCATTATTATTATTATTAATCTGTGTTCAAAGGTGTTCAAAATTATGAGTTGCTTTGATAGAGTGAATAGGAAGAAACTGTTTCGTCTGGTGGGTGGGTCGGTAACCAGAGGACACAAATTTAAGATAACTGGCAAAAGAACCAGAGGGGAGACGAGGAGACATTTTTTTTCTCAGAGTTGTTGTGGTCTGGAATGCACTGTCTGAAAGGGTGGTGGAAGTAGATTCGATAGTAGCTTTCAAAATGGAATTGGATATGAATTTAAAAAGGGCAAATTTGCCAGGCTATGAGGTAAGAGCGGGGGAGTGGGACGAGTTGGATAGCTCCTTTAAAGAGCTGGCAAGAGGCACAATGGGCCGAATGGCCTCCTTCTGTGCTGTAAGATTCTATGAGTCTATAATCTCTTTGAGTTATAATAAATAACAAATAATCCTTGCCCTAGATATAGCGTCTGACTCTTGCCTCTGAGTCAGTATTTTGGGGAGTCAAATCCCACATTGGGATTTTGAGCTCACAGTCTAGCCTGATGTCCTAGTGCAGTATAGGAACTGGGAGCTTTGTATTGCCAGAGGTTCCGTCCTTCTGATGAGATGTTAAACCGAGCTCTCCGTCTGTGCTCTGTGCAGACAGACGTTAAAGACCCCTTGGTGCTGATCGAAAAGTGAAAGGAGGTTCTCTCCCAGTGTCGCGAAGGTGTGATAAGGCACTATATCAAAATGCAAGGATTATTATTATTATTATTATTATTATTGTAAGTAAACTGGAGCCCCTGAGCGAAAGGGCTGGGTGGTAGGGTTTGAGGATGTCACAGTTTTAGGTTGGGCATTTCAAAGGTGAGAACAAGGATCTCAAGCAACTGTGAGTAAGTGCTCCATGACACTATCTTGCATGAATGGTGCTATATAAACGCAAGTCGTCATCGTTGTTGTTGTAATAATAATAATCTTTGCATTTGATATAGTGCCTTATCACTACGTTGGGACTTCTCAAAGTGCTTTACAGAATATACTGTAAAGTGCCAATTGCACATAACAGTGTTCCACAAGTGGAATCATAGAACCATAGAATTACACAGCATGGAAGGAGGCCATTCGGTCCATCGTGTCTGTGCCAGCTCTTTGAAAAGAGCTATCCAAATCAATCTCACTCCCCGCTCTCTCCCCATAGCCCTGCAAACTTGTCCTACCCAAATAATTATCTACTAATAGTCATTGATTGAGTGACCAAACTATTTTTTTATTAACTTTTTTGGAGGGATTATTACCCACGGAAAAGTGATCTGCCAATCGACTAACAACTGCGTTCCTACTTACTGCTAGGTAAACAGAGGCGTGCGCCATAACGTTTTGCCTTGCCCAGGAATTGAACCCGGATCCTCTCATTTGCAAGGCGAGTGCTCTAACCACGAAGATACAGTTTTGTAACAAATGTCAGGAGGCTGTACCTTCACCACTCCTCCGCTCATGTCCCCCGTACACATCTTTGCCAGGTAAGTCTCGCCGAGTGAGTATTCACTGAACGACACCCCACTGCAGGAAACAAACCACAAAAGCACTCAGTGTGTGCGGATACTCAGCACCTCCCCCTCTCGTCTCCCCCTTTCACTTCCGTCACTTTAAATAACATCTGAATTTTTAATTTAAAAATTTTAATCTAAAATTAGAGCTAGGCTTTTAGGGATGAAATCACAAAGCATTTTTCACACAAAAGGTAGTGGGAATCTGGATCTCTCTCCCCCAAAAGGCTGTGATACTGGATCCATTCACATTTTCAAGACTGAGGTACATAGATTGTTGTTAGGTCAGGGTATCAAGGGATACGGGGCAAAGGCGGGTAATTGGAGTTGAGGTACAGATCAGCCATGATCTTATAGAATGGTGGAACAGGCTCAGGTGGCTGAATGGCCTACTCTTGTTCTTATATATTTACTACCCCTTTAAACCACGCATTCACTCCCCACCCCTTCAAATTACACATCCCTACCTGCCTCTTTAAACCACATTTCCCCATCCCTTTAAAGCACATCCTTTCCCCCCCCCCCCTCACCCCCACAGGCACGACTGCCCTCCTCGCCGGTCTCCACAGCTCCACTACCCATAAACTACAACGGATTCAGAATCCTGCCACCCAGATTCTCACCCACACTGAACTCCATACCCCCATCACAACAGTCCTCTCCAGGCTCCACTGGCTCCCTATTACAGAACGGATGGATTTCAAGATCCTCTCACTCGTCTACAAATCCTTTCACGTCCTGGCACCTCCCGAACCTTTCTGACCTGCGTTCACTCCACTCCACCACCCGCTGCCTCCACTTGGCCGGCCCTGGCCTCCTGCTTGCCCCTGATCCCCTCCAATCCACCATCGGCATCCATGCTGTCAGCCATTACATCCTGAAGCTTTGGAACACTTTCCTCACAATCCCTCCGCCTTTCCCTCCGCTTCCTCTTTCAACTGGACCTTCCTCTTCGACCGTGCTTACAGTCATCTCCTCTCTCTTCCCGGCTCAGCGTCAGGCCCCGAGACGCTGCCCTGCGTGAAGGGCGCTGTATAACTGCAAGTTGTTGTTGAGTTACCTGATGAGCTGAGCATAGTCGTAGTGTTTCCGTGGCAACAGTTCAGTGCTACTCCATCTCATGAAGTCACGAAGAGCTATGGAGGAATTATAGCTGATGGGCACTTTGTTTTCCTTGTTCCAGATCTCAATCCCGACCAGGAAGATTTTAATATTCAGCTGTGAATAGTAGATCTGAAAAAGACGGAGAGCCTCCATTACTGGAGGGAGCGAGGGAAGGAGGGAGGGAAGGAGGAAGCAAGCATGGAAGACAGAGATGGACAGAGATAGAGACAGAAAGGCAGAGAGAGAAAGACAGAGAGATACAGAAAGAAAGAGAAACAGAGAGAGAGAGAGAGAAAGAGAGAAACACAGAAGGAACATTTTCACCCGCAAAATATAATCAATTCACTTCAAGTTATATTCGGTGAAGCTCTTTGAGACGTCTCAACCACGTGATAAGACGTTATATCAAATGCAAGGATTATTATTAAGAAAGACAGAAAGAAAGAAACAAATAAATAAACAAAAAACAAAGAGGAAAGAAGGAATCCAGAGAGAGAGAAGAGAGAGGACACAAGCAAGAGAGAAAACGAAAGAGAGAGAGAGAAAGAAAGGGTATTTCAATTTTTATTTTAAATTTCACATCAAATCATTGCAAGCGCTCTGAGACGCTAACCTGCATGACGGGTGCTATATAAATGCAAGTTGTTGTTGTATCTCTCAAGCCCCAAGTCCAGTGTTGAGATCAGCACATCACGCATCACAAATTTTCACCCCAGTGAAAAAAGATTTTTTTTGAAGAGAAAGTGAGGCTGGTTGAGAGTTCCCCATTTCATTTGTCTTGAGTTTGCCCCTTGGCCTGAGAGAGGACCCCGGGACGATGGAGGGTGAGGGAATAATGGTCTCTGACGACCTCGAGTGGTGGAAATGAGTAAGTGAAAGCAAGACCAATGCTGCTGGGAAAATTTAGAATTGTGTGATGCTTGAAGGAACCACTGTGGGAATTGCTAAGGGGAATTTCAGGGCAGACACCAGGAAATATCTCTTTATCCAGGGGGTAATTATAACTGGAACAAGGATGGTTGGGCGGGTGTTCTGGAGGCATGAGATCAGGTGGGTTGATGGGCCTTCTCTATCTGAACTGATCTTGTGATCGTGTGAGTGTTCGAGATATCCAGTGTTTGCTGCCTGCTCAGTTTAAAGCTTGAGTCGAGCATCACAGTGTATTACCTGGTGCAAGTGGTAGGCCAAGCTGATTAAGTACTGCTGGGTTTTCTTGAGGTCCTCGTTGTGTTTCAAGAACTGTGAAAAGACATTACAAGGCATGAGTAGGTGCAATGGAGATATGAGCGGTGAATAATAATAATAATAATCCTTCCATTTGATATAGCGCCTTATTACATCATCGAGATATCTCAAATTGCTTCACAGAATCCATACCAAGTGGATTGATTTTGTAATTTGTGGGTGAAACGCGGCAGCCAATTACACACAGCAGTGTCCCACAAACAGTCGTGGATTCATAGAATCATAGAATTATACTGCACAGAAGGAGGCCATTCGGTTCTTCATGTCTGTGACGGCTCTTTGAAAAGAGCTATCCAATTCAATCCCACTCCCCTCTCCCCATAGCCCTGCAAACTTGTCCTCCCCAAATATCTATCTACTTATCTAGTGGAGTCCTGTAGCTCAGTGGTTAGAGCACTCGCTTTGCAAGCGAGAGACCTGAGTTCAATTCCAGGCAGAGGGCGAAACCTTGGGCAAGTTTCCTTACTCCACACAGAGCCTAATAATAATCCCTCCAAAACAAAAAACAATAATAAATTGGTCATTTTCAATCTACGACTGTTTGTGGGACATTGCTGTGCGCAATTGGCTGCCGCGTTCGCCCACAAATATACAGTCAATTCACTTTACAGTGTGTTCTGTGAAGCACTTTGGGACGTCCTCCCGACGTGAAAAGCGCTATATCAAATGCAAGGATTATTATTATTATTACTTCTCTCTTGAAAGTTGTAATCGAATTGGCTTCAGGCCATGCATTCCAGATCCGAACACACTGCGCCACGGGACTCCACAGTGAAGATATAAGCGGTAACTCATGAGTGGGGAGATATGAGAGGCGAGATACAAGGGGTGAAGATATGAGCAATGAGATATGAGCATGTCATATCTCCTCAGTGTTTTACCTCTTGTCTGTCAGCCACCAGAAACAGCTCAATGCCAAGTTCATTCTTGTGACCCTAGAAAGGAGTGCACAAAAAAATTGTGATGTTTATAACAGGATGGAATTCTGCATAGTTGGATCTGTTTTCCGGTTTATCACTTATTTTTACATATTATTTTCACAAAATGACAGTCTTCAAAATTCAGAAGCTTGTTGGAGACCAGAACACCCACCCTATCTTTCTCCCATCACAGCATCGAGCTGTTTCTTAAATGAATGTCCTGTCCTGTCCTCACCCACCCATTCTGGTAACCCTGTTCCAGTTATTAATTAAACGTCTGAAATTGCCTTTGGACCCCTGAACCTGCTACTCTCTAAGTGCCGGCCTGGTTCTGTCTGTTGTGCTCTTACCTCTGAGTCACAAGGTTTGTGGGTTCAAGCCCCTCACGTTGGGGACTTGGAGCTCCCAATCTCAGCTGAGCCTCCAGCGCAGTGCTGGGGGGCGCACTGCATTGGCAGAGCTGCATTGTATGATTATTACTTATTAGATTCCTGCTTTCATATTACTTTAATCATTCTAAGCTTTGAAACAAATACATGAAGCATTGCTTCATCTGTAGAAATGTATTTTGAGTATTTCTGGATGTGGGATAAAAGTGCCCCTTTATCTTCATTCCCAGGCAGGGCAAAATCTTTTGCTTACTGCTAGGTGAACAGAAGCATGTGTGGAGAACATGGAATGTTCTTATTCCACACGTGCTTGTTTATCTAGCAATAAGTAGGAAACTGGTTGTTAGTCAATTGGAGGGTCATTTTCTGGAGGTAATAATCCCTTCCCCCTCAAAATAATGATAATAATTTGGTCACTCAATCCACGACTGTTTGTGGGACACTACTGTACGCAGTTGGCTGCCAGATTTGACCCACAAAATATATTGTCAATTCATTTCATAGTACATTCTGTCAAGCACTTGAGACGTTTCGATGATGTGATAAGGTGCTGTATCAAATGCAAGGTTTATTATTATTATGCAGTCTCCACCAGCGAAAGTTCCTTAAAAAATACTCCCGGGGTAGGGTAGTGTTGCTGTGCCCTCACCATTCTGTTGCTGGGAAGATGAGGTACGTGTCTTTTGAAACGAAGGTGCTCAGACCTGGTAACTTTGTGCTCCTGGCTGTTGTCAGTCACAGGGTCGATGGTGAATGCTTTATCCCCAATGGACACGTATCCACTGTAATCATAAGACACGTCCTCAAAATACTTTTACTCGCTCATTCTCTCATTCGCTCGCCCGCCCGCCCAGAGTAAGATCATTAGTCTTCACACTCATTCACTGTCACACAAAGTCCCACACATGTTCACACTCACACACATGGGCAGACACACACTCTTATTCGCTCTCATACTGAACAACAACAACTTGTAGTTATATAACGCCCAAAGCGCTTGACAGTGCCAGAGCACCACACTGTGCCAGGGGTGAAGTGACCATAAACATGGTCAAAGAGGAAGGTCTTCAGGCATGATCTGAAGATGTGGAAGGAAGGGACAAGGTGAAGGGACTGAGAGAAAGAGTTCCAGAGCTTTGGGCTTAAAGTGGCTTAAAGTGTGACCGCCAATGGTGGAACGGAGGGCACAAGGACAAGCAGGAGACCGTTATAGTTTTCACATTGATTCAGTTACACGCTCACTGTCACACACAGTCCCACACACATGTTCACACTTACGCACAAAAACACAAGCTAACACTCAATTGCTCTTATACTCAGACTGTCTCATACACATACTTACACACGCATACTCACTCATTCTTATACTTAGACTGCTGTACACACTTACACACACACACTCATTTGCTTGTAAGCTCATGCACACAGACATTTTCACACACATATGCAGACACCACACTCACTCGCTCTTATACTCACATATATTTACACACAGACACACGCGCACACTCACCTGTTATAATACTCACACTGTCACACACACATACGCACACACGTACACACATATGCACACTCACACACTCTTATACTCCCTATCATACACACACACACACACACACACCAGTCTCCTCACCTGAGGCCATGGCACACACAGAGTGACACTGAGGAATCCTCCACTCCCTCAACCACCCCTGTGTAACAGCAGTGATTCTGAAAAGCAAAGTGTCAAATCTTCAAATCAAACAAGAATTCACTCATCCTCCCATCCTTCAGAACCATTTTCCATTTCCCATATTCAGTGTTACCCCCGGGTGGGGGAAGAAGCTAATCAATTTATCAAGAACAATTGTTTGAAAAAATATTTATCAATTGGCTGCTGCATTTCACAAAATACACAGTCAATCCATTTTATTGCATATCCTGTGAAGCGCTTTGAGACATCTCAATAACTTGATAAAATGCTATATCAAAAGCAATTTTCATTATTATTAGGGAGCACCCACCTGGTAATTTTTTTGGCAAAATGCAGCAATCAATTGTCCCACAAACAGTCGTGGATTGAGTGACCAAATTTTTTTTGCAGGGATTATTACCCCCAGAAAGCGATCCACCAATCGACTAATAACCGGGATCATCCTTACTGCTAGATAAACAGAGGCATGTGGAGGAAGGAAATTTGCCTAAGGTTTCACCTGGCCCAGGAATCGAACCCGGGTCCTCTTGCTTGTGAGGTGAGTAAACGTGAGTGAGAGAGAGCGGGGTGGGAGGGGGAGGTGTGGAGGAGAATACCTACCTGGTTATTGCGGGCTTCTGTTACCAACCAGCCGTCTGCCAGGTAATGGGACTCACTGTATGTGTCTGCCAGGAACTCCCTGAGGGAATGAAAGTAGATGATAAATCCCCCTCGATATTCTCCCCTTCAACTAGGGGCAGTGTTCCTTACCCCTATACCTGGCACTGATGCCAGTGTTGGCCATGAGACTTATGGTTTCATTTTGAGACAAAATATAGACATTCATATACACATACACAAGGATACACATGCACACACGCGCACACGCGCAGACACACACAGTAGTGTCTTTCACTGTTACTGCTCTCTACTGCCTCACTTTAAGCACACATCATACAGTGCTTTAAACACACAGGGGCGGTACATACTGTGCTTTGACCAGGTGTAGTACATGTGTTCTGCCTCCAAACCTCACCGAGTACTGGAGTCGGCTGTTGTCTGCAATCTACATTGAAGTAGGTGAATGTAAACCAGAAACAAATGATAAGCAGCCTTGTTGAGTCATCACTGCAGCCAATTTGTGCACAGAAATATCCCACAAACAGCCATGAAGTGAATGATTAATTTTATTGGGAGATAATTTTATTGTTGGTCAGGACACTGGGAGAGAGAAAGTCCGTACTCTCTCCGAACAATGCCTCAGGATCTTTAACGTCCACCTGAATAGGCAGACGGGACCTTGGTTCAGCATCTCATCCAGAGAAAGAAGCCTCCGACGATGATGAAACCCCTACTTCCAATTGGAGTGTCAGCCTCAACTATGTGAGTTCCAAGTCCCAAAGTGGGGCTTGAACCCACAAACTTCTGACAGAGTTGAGAGTGCTACTGACTGAGCCAGGATAATAATAATAATCATTGCATTTGATTTAATGCCTTATCATGTCTTTGAGATGTCTCAAAGTGCTTTGCAGGATATACTGTAAAGTGAATTCATTATATATTTTGTGGGTGAAACACAGCAGCCAATTATGCACAGCAGTGTCCCACAAACAGAAGTGGAATGAGTGACCAAATAATTTTTATTTTTTTTAAGGCATTATTACACCCGGAAAAGCGATCCACCAATCGACTAACAACCGGGTTCCTACTTTCTGCTGGGTAAACAGGGACGTGTGGCGTAAGGAAACTTGCTTAAGGGTTTCCCCCTGCCTGGGAATCGAGCCCAGGTCCCCTTGGTCGCTCTAACCACTAAACTACAGGCTAACGCGCACAAGGGTGAAGCATAGTTTTAAACTCACCTCTGTGCTGTTCCTGTCTGATGGGTCTGCCATTCTGTTGAGCTTTTCTGGCACTATTATTTCGTAGGGTTGAGATGGATCCGAGTGCACGTTTTGATACAGTTGGTGGCACAGCGCTGGAAGATATCATCGAACCAGGATTATAAAAAGATGATGATCATAATAATTCTTGCATTAGATATAATGCCTCATTACATCGTTGAGCTATCTCAAAGCGCTTCACAGAATATATTCTAAGCATCTTTTTTCACCTTGAGAGATATTTTTGTCAAGTGTAGTGGCTATTTTTTTGGAGGTAAGCGCTGTGAGATGAACAATCAACTACAAACAGAGCATAATAGTTAACATCACGCCTCTCACGTCTCAAAGAACTTGGCAGAGACACAGCAGGAGCCGGTGCAGAGTGAAAGATACAAAGGTCCATGTTGCCAGAGTTTGCTTAAATAGACCCTGTGGAAAAACGGATTCTAAATTCCACATCAATAATAACAATAATCCTTGTGTTTGATCACTTGGTCAAAACACCTTCATTGTATGTTGCAGTGACCTATGTATATGTAGGAGGACATGGCAGCCAATTTGTGCCCAGGGACTGAATTGAAGAATTTATTCAATTCTTAATCAATCCAGAACTCTGAGACAAAATGGTTTTATGGCTAAGAACTCCCCTACTCACCACTTCTTCCCCCTTGCTCAGTGTCAACCCCATCCCCTTATTTGAAAGGCGCTGCATAAATCAAGTTGTTGTTATTGTAAATCCTGCAAAACACTTTGAGACGTGGTGCTATATCAAAGTAATTATTATTGTTAATTATTATTATTCATTATTATTATTCATTATTACAACTGCTTGTGGGACATTGCTGTGCGTAATTATCTGCCACATTTCAGCCATAAAATATAGTCAATTTACGTTTACAGTGTATTCAGTGAATCACTTTGATATGTCTCAATGATAATACTACAACAACAACAAAATTACATTTATAGATTGCCTTTTACATCGAGAGGACGTCCCAAGGCGCTGGATAGTCAGGGGTCAGGACCAGAGCATGGGGGAGGGGTGGGGTAGGGGTGAGGGAAGGCAGAGAGGTGGAAGGGAGACTGAAGACTGAAAGCCTGGCCACCGATGGTAGGGTGGGTTGGGCGAGTCGATAGTATGGCTGGCCTTGAAAATAAGGACAATGATCTTGAATTCGATCCTCTGGGGGATGGGGAGCCAGTGGAGTTAGGCGAGAGTGGGAGTGATGGAGTCACGGAGCCTGGTGCACGGGTGTACACAAACTGCAGAGTTTTGGATGATCTGCAGCTTGTGAAGGGAAGAGTTGGGAAAGCCGATGAGGAGGGAATTTCCATAATCGAGCTTTGATGTGACAAATGCGTGGGTGAGGGTTTCGGCAGCCTGAGGGGTGAGGCAATGGCGGAGTCTAGCAATATTGCGGAGGTGGTAGTAGGCAGTGCCGGTCATGGCGCGGATGTGGGGGAGAAAGGACAGTTCAGGGTCAAATAAGACACCCAGGTTCCTGACTGGATTAGTGAGATTGAGTGTGCAGCCGTGGAGGTTGATGCTGCCAGCGCCTGAGGTGTGGAGGCCTTGCTGACGTTGAGTTGGAGAAAGTTGTCCCTCGTCCAGGACTTGATGTCAGACAGGCAGTCGGTCAGGACGCCAGTAGTCCTGGAGTTCAGGGTGGAGGCAGAGGGGTAGAGTTGGGTGTCATCCACATACATGTGGAAGTTTACCCCATGTCTGCGGATAATGTCACCAAGGGGGAGCATGTAGAGGGTGAAGAGGAGGGGAACGAGGACAGAGCCCTGAGGAACACCGCACAAGACGGTGCGGGGGCTGGAGGAGAAGCTGTTTGCTGAAACTAAGTGAAGGTGGTGTGAAAGGTAGGACCTGAACCAGTCAAGGACAGAACCTTGAAGGTTGAGGTGGGAGTAGAGCCGGTGGAGGAGAATTGAGTGGTCCACAGTATCAAAGGCGGCGGAGAGGTCGAGGAGGACGAGGAGGCAGAGGTCACACATGGTCAGGATGTTATTTGTGACCTTGACCAGAGCAGTTTCCGTGCTGTGGGCAGCACTGAAACCCGATTGGAGGGGTTAATGGAGGGAATGGGAGGAGAGGAAAGAGTGGAGCTGGGAGGCAACAGTTCTCTCAAGGACCTTGTACGGAAAAGGGAGGTGGGAGATGGGCCAGTGGCTGGATAGCTGTGATAGGTCGAGGGAAGGTTTCTTCAAGGTGAGGGTGATATTGGCTGTTTTGAGGGGGGAAGGAACAGTGCCAGATGACAGGAAGACGTTGATGATGTCGGCGAATAGTGGGGCAAGTAGGTGGAGCTGCGATTTAAGGAGGGGTGGGGATGGGGTCCAGGGAGCAGGTGGTGGGCTTCATGGAGGATATAGTGGTGATGACAGAGGAGGGGGTGACAGATTTAAAGGTGTGGAAGGATGGATGGGTAGTGTTTGGAGTGTGGTGGGGGGTGTTAGGGAGGGGGTGGAAGTTGGGAGGGCAGTGGCAGCTGAGCAGATAACCTCGATTGTGGACTCGAGGAAGCCCAGCATTTCCTCACAGTGGGAGTCGGAGGAAAGTATCTGTGAGGCGAGTTGGGGAGGGCGGAGGAGCCGGTTGGTGGTGGAGAACAGGAGCCTGGGGTTGCCCCTCACCTCCAGGATTAACCTGGAGTAAAAGGACGATTTGGCCGAGGTGAGAGCGGAGCAGTAAGTTGATGTGGTCCAGCCAGATGTGCCGGTGGACGGTTAGGTCGGATTTGAGCCAAATGCATGAGGCAGCCGCACCCGGCTCTTGAGGCGAGCGGAGGTGGCTGGTGAATCAGGGTGAGGATCAGGAATAGGAGGCAGTTCGGGAGGTGAGGGGGGTAAGGGCGTTGAGTGTGGTGGAGAGGATGCTGTGGAGGAGAGTAAACACAGAGGATGGGTTGATGTGGGAGGTGGGCTAGAGGGGAAGGAGTTCAGAGGACTCCAGAGCAGCGGAGAGAAATTGTGGGGAGATCTTCTTCCATGGGCGGTAGAAGATGGTGGTAGGTTTGGAGGCAGTGGGGAGTTGAGGGAGTTAAGAGAGGAGTTAATGATTATTATTGTTAATTGTTATTATTTACGGCTCTATATCAAATGCTATCATTATTATTATAATTGTTATTCAAGTTTAAATCTCACAAGATAGAGTTCATTGTTTCCGACACTGTAATCACTTACTAATAATTATTATTAATATTATCCCTCTGTACAGCGGTACAGATGTAGCATTAAGTCGAGGTTCCATCTGCGTTTGGACTGTTGGAGGTTAAAGACCCCTTGTCACCCATGGGGAATTTTTCCCAGCTCATGCCCCTGACAGCCCCCCCATCCCCATGACCGCTTGGCACACCCCAAACACCCAACCCCCACCCCGCGCACACAAACACACACACACACAAACACACACAACTTGCAAGTTTCAGCTTTGAAGCTACCTTCAGGAGAAGTACAGAGCACCAGGACAGGGATGATCCACAGCATTATGGTAAGTCTCAATCCAACCACTTGTTCCTCAAGCTTGTGCGTTTGACTACATTTGGTTCTCTATGATCAAGCTGCTCTATTTATTTGATTGTCTGGTTAACACACACCCCCTTTCAAACCTCCCTACCTTTCTGTGGAAGATCATACCTTTTCCTTTCAAAGCCTGAAGCTGCCTATGATGTCCGTTCCAACCCACATTTTGAGGTATCGATTTTCCGAGGAACTGTTACAACGTCACTTAGACCATAGCAAATTCACACTTGGCATCATCCCAAAGCAATTTGCTATCAATTGTGACCATGTGATTCATCCACCTCCAGCTATCAGCAAAGAGATAACATCGAAGTTATGTTGTTAAGGTGGTGAGTTCCGCGGAACTCTAAATGGGAAATGGACTGTTTGCACCCTCGACACTGGGATTGACACTCCTCATGGAAACCAAATCTGTCTGGATCAGTGCTATGCTAGGGACAACAGGCAGGTCCAAACTGGCAGCCCGTGGTCCGCATCAGGCCCCCCCCTCCGTCCATTTCATCTGGCTCATCCGCTGCCTCCATAACCCGTAAATGTTATCTTATTTTTCAGGGCTCCATCCTTGACTCCTCTTCTTCCTCATCTATGTGCTCCTTCTTGCTGATGTCATCTGCAGACAAGGGGTAAACTTCCAATTGTATGTGGATGACACACAAATCTACTTTCCTCCTCCAGCTGTGACTCCAGGTACATCAATGTTCTCTCGGCTTGTCTGGTAGACATCAGGGCCTGTATGAGCAAAAAGTTCCTGCAACTCAATGTCGACAAGATGGAAGTCATACTCAGTAGCTACCATCAACGTCTTCTATCCTACGGCTCTGACCTCCTAAACCTCCCCAGTCTAACTCTCAGGTTTACTGAACCGGTGCGCAATCTTGGCGTCAGGTTCAACCCATAGATATCTTTCCTTCCCCACATCCTGAACCTGGCCAGGACCACCTTCCTCCCCCTCCACCACATTACCCACCTCCAACCGCATCTTTAATAATAATAATAATAATTCTTGCATTTGATATAGCGCTTTTCACGTCTTCTAGACGTCCCAAAGCGCTTCACAGAATATACTGTAAAGTGAATTGACTGTATATTTGTGGGCGAACGTGGCAGCCAATTGCGCACAGCAATGTCCCACAAACAGTCATGGATTGAAAATGACCAATTTATTATTGTTTTGTTTTTTGGAGGGATTATTATTAGGTGTGTGGAGTAAGGAAACTTGCCCAAGGTTTTGCCCTCTGCCTGAAATTGAACTCAGGTCTCTCGCTTGCAAAGCGAGGGCTCTAACCACTGAGCTACAGGACTCCACACATCTAACCCCAGATGCAGTCGAAACACTTATCCAATCGTTCGTCACCTCCCAATTCAACTTCTCAAATGCCCTCTTTGCCAGTCTCCCCAGCTCCACCATGCACAGGATCCAACTGGTCCAAAACTCCGCCGCCCGCATACTCACCTGTATTAAACTCTGTATCCCCATCACACCCGATCTAGCCAGGCTCCACTGGCTCCCTATTGCCAAACAGATCGATTTCAAGATATTTACATTTGTTTTCAAATCCCTTCATATCCTGCCACCTCCCTACCTCTCTGACCTGCTTACCCCCAACCCCCAACCCGCTACCTCCGACATTCTGCCCGGCCCTCGTGCCCTCCATTCCCTCCGTGCTTTCAGCTATTACGCCCTGAAACTCTGGAACATGCTGTCTCTATCCTTCTCCCTTGTCCCTTCCTTCCCCATCTTCAAGTCGCGCCTGAAGACCTTCCTATTCAATCGTGCCTACGGGCACCTCGCTACCAGCCCCCCCCCCCCCCCCCAACACCTGGCTCAGCATTGTGCTCCGCCACTGTCAAGCACTCTAGGACTCCACCCTTCATGAGGGGCACTATATAAATGCAAGTTTTTGCTATTGTTATGAGCGTGTGTTCACAAACTCGGACTCCAGTTAACGCCAACCAGCAGCTGTCTTGACAAGCCTCAGAGTTTCCTCATCAGCTATCTGGCGGACATCTGCTTTCAGCATAAAAATACCCCATGGCACTATTTGAAAAGAGAAGGGAGTTTCTCTCTTCTGGTGTCCTGAAAATAATAATTTGGTCACTCAATCCACGACTGTTCATGGGACAATACTATGCATAATTGGTTGTCACATTTCATGTACAAAATATACAGTCAATTCACTTTACAGTATATTCTGTGAAGCACTTCGAGACATCTTGAAGATGTGATAAAACGCTATATCAAATACAAGGATTATTATTATTATTAACCAGGATGCCCCTTCACCTCAATCCCTCAGGATAGTGTTGAAGCACAAGCTGAAACCCACCATGACCCCCAGATACTGATAAGATCAACAATTGGGACTAATGTTCCTTCTATCTTCCACCTGTTGAGCCATTCAGAGCCTTAATCCTGCATGAGGGGACACATACCATCATGTCTACTGAGTAACCCTGTGTTCAAAATGGTGAGTGCAACACATAGGTTGTGTTTAAGTCTGGCTCAGTTGGTAGCAATGTGGGGTTCAAGCCCCACATTGGAACTTGGAATTACATAGTCTAAGCTGACACTCCAGTGCAGTGCTGGGGATGTGTTGCATTGTCATAGGTGCCTTCGTTCGGATGAGATGTTAAACCAAGGTCCCATCTGTGCCTATTCAGGTGGACCTTGAAGATCACATGGCACTATTGGAAAAGAGAAGGGAATTTCTCTCTCCCGGTGTAACTGTCTGTGGGACATTGCTGTGTTTATAGGCCAGGTTGTGTGATTTGAGGAGGTTGCAAAGGTAGAGTGTGGCGAGACCCTGCAGGAATTTGAACGTGAAGAGGACAATAATAATAATAAACCTTGGATTTGATATAACATTTTTCACATCTTATAGAATAGACTGCTTCACAGAATAGACTGTAATGTGAATTGACTGTATATATTTGTGAGCGAAACGCCTGAATTGCGCACAGCAGTATCCCACAAACAGTCATGGAATGAAGTGACCAATTTATTATTGCTTTTTTTTCTTGAGGGATTATTATCAGCTGTGTGGAGTAATGAAACTTGCCCAAGGTTTCACCCTGCCTGGGAATCAAACCCAGGTCTCTCCCTTGTAAAGCGAGTGCTCTAACCACTGAGCTACAGGACTACAGAATGATCTTGACTCGATTCATTGAGGGGATGGGAAGCCAGTGCAGCTGAATGGGAATAATAATAATAATAATAATGGTTATGGTGATAATCATTGGATTTGATATAGCGCCTTGTCACTTTGTCGAGATGTCTCAAAGTGCTTCACAGAATATACTGTAAAGTTAATTGACTGTCTATTTTGTGGGCGAAACGCAGCAGTCAATTGTGCACAACAGTGTCCACATGCAGTTGTGGATTGAGTGACCAAACTATATTTTTAAAATTTATTTTTTTGAAAGGATTATTACCCCTGGAAAGTAATCCACCAATCAACTAACAACTGGATTCCTACTTATTACTAGGTAAATAGAGATATGTGGAGTAAAGAAACTTGCCTAAGGTTTCACCCCATCCAGGAATCAAATCTGCTTGTGAGGATTATTATGTGTAATCTTTTGTGGTTACATATCAGGATATACCTAAAGAGGAAGGAGTTTCTCATGGTATCCTGGTACCAAGGTGCAGTGACACAGTAAGAAAAAGATGCTATATAAGTGCACATTGTTATGCAAAGTGCAACAAAAGTGTAAGTACAGTACTACATTAATTGGGAGAGTGTTGCATTGTTGGAGGTGACATTCTGGCCAACAAATCCCTCAAACAAAATTGGTCACTCATTCCATAGCTGTTTGTAGGACATTGCTGTACGCAAACTGTCTCCCGCATTTCGGCTACAAAATACAGTTAATTCACTTTACTGTATATCCTGTAAAGGGATTTGAGACATCTTGACAATGCGATAAGGTGGTATATCAAATTCAAGATTTAAATTTAATTTATTAAAAAAAAGATGCTATATAAATACAAATTGTTGTGCAAAGTTCAAATTAGTCTGATAAAATGTAAATGCTGCATAATCAGAAATCGCTGGGAAGACTCAGTAGGTCAGACAGTATCTATAGAGAAAGGAAAGTGAGTCAAAGTTTCGGGTCCATGATCCTTCATGAAAAAGGGGGCTACATAAAGTACTACATAATGTTGCTCTCATTATGTTATCATCATAAATCAATCATTCACGTCCTGGATGTTTGTTGGAACTGGTTGTGCAATAATAAACCTTGCCTTATCACATTGTTGTGAAATCTCAAAGCGAATCACAGAACACATAGTAAAGTTAATTTACTGTATATTTTGTGGATGAAACGCGGTAGCCAATTGCACACAGCAGGGTTCCACAAACAGCCATGGATTAAGTGACCAAATTTTTATTATTAGGTTTTTTTAAGGGATTATTAGCCCCAGAAAGCACTCTGCCAATCGACTAAGAAACAGGTTTCTACTTACGTAAACAGAGGCATGTGGAGTTAGGAAACTTGCCTAAGGTTTCCCCCCCACCGGGAATTAAACCCGCATCCTCTCATTTGCAAGGCGAGAATCAATATACTACAGGACCCCACCGTGAGTGCTCAAACCAATATGCTTTGGACTCCAGTAAATAATTTACTGCCATGCTTGCCTACAGATACAGTCATTACATTTGAATTTGAGATCCTCAGGAACTATACTGGCTCCAAATCCTGACGTGGACCTTGATCCCATAACCTTCTGACTGAGAGATAAAAGTGGTAACGACTGAGTCCAGCTGATAGTTATTACTACCTATGAAAAAAAGTCACAAGAACTTGCATTTATATAGCAACCTTCACGTGAGATTGTGTCTCGGAGCACTGCACAGTGGCAGGGTTAGACTTCAAGCAAGGGTCATGAGGGAGGGGAGGTGAATATAGGTTGAAAACGTAGAGTTTTAAAAATAAAGAGAGACGAGGTGGAGGGATTGAGGGAGGAAGTTCTAGAGGATAGGGGCTAAGTGGCTGAAAGCCAAGCTACCGATGCTCCTGCGGAGAGAGTGGAGGATCAACAGAAGGCTGAGATGTGTTAGCAGAGTGTTAAGGGCAGGCCAAGGAGTGGGATACGAGGAGGTCAGAGATGTAGGGAAGTGTTACAACATGAAGGGACTTGTATGTGATGTTGAGGAACTTGAAATTGATCTGTTCAGTGGCGAGGAATCAGCGTAACCTGGCGATTGGTGTGATGAGTGTATGTTGATGTTGAAGATAATTATAATCAGTTTTGTCAAGTTTAACTTTGGGCAAGTTTCCTTACTCCACACGTCTCCGTTTACCTGGCAGTAAGTAAGTTGTTTGTTGATTGGTGGATCACTTTCCGGGGGTAATAATCCCTCCAAATGTATTTAAAAAAAAGTTAGCAGAGTTTTGGATGAGTTGGACCTTGTGGATGGTGGTACCAGGGAGACGAGTGAGATGAGGAGTGTTCAAGAAATCAAGGCAGCAGGCAATAAAGGCATATACAAGGGTTGCAGGAGCATTTGGGATGAGGCGGGAGATGTGGCAGAGGTGGGAGGAAAGAGCCAACTGAACCAAACAAACCAACTAACGAAACATCTACTTAACCAAAGAGTTTTGCAAACGAGAGGACCCAGGTTCGATTTCCGGTGGGGGTGTGGGAGGCAAACCTTGGGCCAGTTTCCTTGCTCCGTACATCTCTGTTTACCTGGCAGTAAGGAGGAACCCGGTTGTTAGTCGATTGGTGGATCAACTAACCCCCGAGGGTAATAATTTGGGCACCCGATTCACGACTGTTTGTGCGCATAACCGTCTGTGGCGATTTCCCACAAAATACGCAGTCAAATCACTTTGCAGCATTTTCCGCGAAGCGCTTTGAGATGCCTGAACGACGAGATGAGGCTCTACATCAATTGCAAGGATGACTGTTATTATTTCTGGATCAAACAACTGTCTGACCAACCAAAACAAACCACCATCCAACCCACCAAAGCACAATCCATCAGCTCAAGGGCAGAGGGGGAGGGAGGAGCTCCGCGCACAGCCTTCTGGGAGTTGTAGTCCTGCGGCGCGCACGCCGGGTGGGGGCGGGGGGAGACTCCAGCTCCCGGCATGCTGTGCTGCTGGCCGGAAGTGTGCGGTTGCCACAGAGACGGAGCAATGGCGGCGGCGGTGTTTTGAAGGCCGCGGCGATGGACCAGGAGGCGCTGGAGGAGCTTCATTCCTGGCTGGACTCCATCCCGCTGGCCAGAGCCAAGCGGAGCCTCACCAGGGACTTCAGCGACGGAGGTGAGATCCTCATAGGCCCCCCTCACAGCCCTCATCACATCACCAACGACCATTTAATAATTATCATCAAACTAATGTAGTCATTAATCGGATTGAATTGGATCATCGTTGCCATTTCATTTCATTATTGATTGGACAATTAAGTCAGTTATTGATTCCGTGTAACTGGTTTCACCGTTAAAGGTTGAAGCAGCTCTCGGTCTTGCCGTTTGGTCACTCGGTGGATGGCTGTTTGGGCTCAATCAGCCGCCGCCGCCGCGTTGTGTTTCACCCACAGTACAGTCAATTCACTTTACAGTATATCCTGTGAAGCGCTTTGAGATGTCTCACCGACGTGATGAGGCGCTGTATCAAATACAATGCTTATCATTATTATGATTAGTAGATAATTATTCGGGGAGGACACATTTGCAGGGCTATGGGGAGAGAGCGGGGGACTGGGATTGAATTGGTAGCTCTTTTCAAAGAGCCGGCACAGGCACGATGGGCCGAATGGCCTCCTTCTGTGCTGTATAATTCTATGATGCTATGATTCCCCCCTCACAACCCCCCCATTCGCCCCTCACAACCAATGCAAGGATTGTTATTGTTATTTCACTATGTAGGGATGCGCACTGATAATCAATATCCTCTTTTTGCAGTTCTATTGGCTAAAGTGGTGAAGACTTATTTTCCTCAACTGGTTGAAATGAATGACTATGTTCCAGCTAGCTCAACACAGCAGAAACTTAGCAATTGGGGCCAACTGAACAGGTAATGGCTTGAAAGAATTAGGGGAAAAGTGAAGGTTTAAACTTGTCCAGTTAACCTACCTGTGGGGGAAAAGTCTGTTTGGCGATGTCGGACACTGAATACTAAAGAATCTCAGTATCTGTTTAAGAGCCAACATTTAATGTTTTTGAAAAACTTTAGTTGGCATGTGTCTATGTGAAAAAATGAATAAGAAGAGGCTTTTCAAGTATTATTATGTAGATGGTGTTTCATCCACCTACATGCAAATACAGGATTGTATGGATGGATGTGTGTCAGTCTGGTTCAGTGTTAGGACTTTCATTTCTTGAGTGAAAAGGATATGGCAAGCTCCATGTTGGGACTTTGATTTGCAAAGCGTTAGGTGACACTCCAATGCAGCGCTGGGGGTTTGTTGCATTGCAGGAGGTGCCGTTCTTCGAATGAGCTGTTAAACCGAGGTCCCATCTGCCTATTCAGGTGGATATTAAAGATCCTGTGGCACTATTCGAAAAGAGAAGTGAGTTTCACTCTGTCCCAGTGTCCTGGCCAACAATCACCCCAAGTAAAATTAGTCACTAACTCCATGGCTGTTTGTGGAGGAAAATATTTTATTATTTGAATGTTTATTTCGTTTACATTTTTTAAAAACTTTGACAGAGTATCAGTTTTACTTTTCTTATTTTAATTTTATTTCAATGTACTGCTGCGGTTCTTGACCCTAATGGAAACCTGTGAAATGTCTCCCGTGCCGTGACCTAGGTGGCCTCTGTGTTTGATCTTCCTCTCTTGAGTGTAAGTTCCCTATTCTAAGTGTAACTTCACTAATGAGAGTCAACACAACAATAATGCTTATATTTGTGGGCGAAACACGGCAGCCACTTGGGCACAGCAGTGTCCCACAAACAGTCGTGGATTGAAAATGACCAATTTTTTATTATTGTTTTGTTTTGGAGGGATTATTGTTAGGTGTGTGGTGTAAGGAAACTTGCCCATGGTTTCGCTCTGCCTGGAATTGAACCCAGGTGTCTCGCTTGCAAGACGAGCGCTCTAACCACTGAGCTACAGGACTCCACGGTACAGTTGGATGTCATCCGTACCGTGGATAGAGGGAAGCTTCTGCCAGAGTCTTGCGCACTAAAGTACTGTGACGTAGGCTCATGAAAATACCCCATCCCTCCTGATTTATACAGACTCGAAAGGCACAATTAAGAAAACTCAACAGTATTTTATTGGACTTTCTCACAGCCCTGTGCCTAACTTGTACTTCCTGACAAATAGGATAAAAACGACCAATGAGAATACTAAAATCTAAACACATACAAACTACAAAAGTTAGCATCCAATTAGTATAAAACACAAGAAACCAATTGTGACCAGAGGACTCCACTCTGAGTCAGGCACGTACCTCTTTGATGTTGAAACAACTCGAAGAAGCAACCATGAGATGAACAGGCTCCCTTTAAGACCAATGAGCCCATCCTCGGTTTAGGGAGTCTCCAATCATATAATAATAAATATAATCCTTGCATTTGATATAGCGCTTTTCACGTCTTCTATACGTCTCAAAGCGCTTCACAGAATAGACTGTAAGTGAATTGACTATATTTGTGGGCGAAACGCGGCAGCCAATTGCACACAGCAATGTCCCACAAACAGTCGTGGATTGAAAATGACCAATTTATTATTGTTTTGTTTTGGAGGGATTATTATTAGGTGTGTGGAGTAAGGAAACTTGCCCAAGGTATTGCCCTCTGCCTGGAATTGAACTCAGGTCTCTCGCTTGCAAATCGAGTGCTCTAACCACTGAGCTACAGCATCAGCATCCAAGGCTGCACTCTCCACCTCTCAAAGTCAGTCAGGAACCTCGGTGTTCTGTTCGACCCTGAGTTGTCCTTTCTCCCTCATATCTGCGCCACAACTGGCACCGCCTTCCATCACCTCTGAAACATCGCCAGACTACGGCACTACCTCACCCCTCACGCTGCTGAAACTCTGGTCCACGCCTTTATCACCTCAAGGCTGGACTATGGGAACTCTCTCCTCGCCGGCCTTCCCGCACCTCCCTCCACAAGCTGCAGGTCATTCAGAACTCTGCAGCTCATGTACTGTCCCACACCAGACACCGCGACCACATCACTCCCACCCTCGCTCGCCTCCACTGGCTCCCCATCCCCCAGAGGATCGAATTCAAGATCCTCATCCTCACCTACAAGGCCATTCACGGCCTCGCTCCCTCCTACCTCTCAGACCTACTGTCCCCCTACCTACCTGCCCGTACCCTCCGTTCCTCTGGCTCTGGTCTGCTCCACATCCCCCGCCCCAACCGCCCTACCATCGGTGGCCGGGCCTTCAGCCTCTCAGCCCCAGGCTCTGGAACTCTATCCCCCAGTGCCTTCACCGCCTCCTCCCTCTCCTCCTTCAAGGCCGGTCTCAAGACCTTTCTCTTCGACTGTGCCTTCAGCTCCCCTCTCGACTCTCTACCCGCTCCTCGCTCCCTCCCTTCCCTCACCCTGACCATTTCCCCCCTGCTCGGGTCCTGACCCAACTGTACAGCGCCTTGGGACGTCCTCCCGACGTGAAAGGCGCTCTATAAATGAATCTTGTTGTACAGGACTCCAGAAATATTTTCTCTCTGCTGAATTATATTACAGTGGTCATGCCCACTGTGCGGCTAAAAGCCTTTTTTCCCACCAAAACAACATTGTTCCAATAATAATAATATTAATAATAACCTGCATTTGATATCGTGCCTTATCACGTCTTCGAGACATCTCAAAGCGCCTCACAGAATATACTGTAAAGTGAATTGATGTATATTTTGTTGGCGAAACGCAACAACAACAATCAATTACATTTGTGTAACACCTTTCACATCAGGAGGACATCCCAAAGCCCCACGCCCTGGTACTAATGATCCTGTTTTACTGCCCAACTGGTTTTATTTGCAGACTTGATGACACAAGAGAAGTATTTACCTTTACAATTAAATACCCTCCTCGGACTGAAAATGCTCCTTAAGCCACGCATCTTACCTTGCGTTACCACGCATGTGCAGAGCTTTCTAACAGTGCATTACATCAAGCTTGCAATAGCTCACAGGCTTACTGGAGCTTTCAACCAACACAACCACACATACAAAAGGCACAACAATGTAAAGGAAAGCAGATAAATGGTCACAAATAATAAGGTGTTCATGACAGTAATTCAATTGAAGTGACCAATTTATTATTGGTCACTTCAGTTGTCATTGAATTATGAGTTTGCAAAACAAAGATTACTGAGTAACAATAATGTGAGATCTCGGATCGGCAGTTATAAACACAATAAAACTCACAGCTTATCTTTATAAACCATAAAAATATTTAAGCTGTACATTCACCTGATTCCCATTCAGTTTCCTTTATTAGATTTCTTTACACAATTCATATTCCTCACCTAACTGATAATGGCGTTCCCCTACCTTCAATTACTCTTGCACTTACCAGAGGACTTAAATCAAGGGAAATGACATCCTGACCCGTCAACGCATGCGCAATTACCAGCCAGCTGCATAGAATCGCGGGAAACGTAGCCTTCAACTATCGACTCATGCGCAGAAGAACTTAATTTTCTGCAATCCACTGCGATCCAATGTTTCCAGTAAATGCACATGTGGTGAAGCATCAAGACGTATTGAATCGCGGAGAAATATAGTTTTTAATCCATCACTGAATGCGCACTTACCAGCTGCAATGACAAATTACTGCAAGTGCGCTTACCACTTCATTAAATTATGTGTGTACAGTGTAGATAATTGATTAAATCGGATTTTGTACCACTTCTACAGTTAGCTTCCAGCTTGAAAACAATGGCTGATGACTGGTCACCATGTTTCCGCCAAACTCACTTCCCACTTTGCGCATGTGCAAAAGATGAGCAGTGATGTTGCAGTTCCCGATGCACTCACAAGTCAACCATTTTCTTCTTTTAGCACAGGAACCAGACAGCGTCTCTGTGCAACACCGCAGCAAGCCGGGCCTGCAGTGAAATTGGGTTTGCATATTCTTTCAGCTCTAAGGAGACCCCGCTTATCTCCTTCCCCAAGCAGGAGAGTCACTAGTTGGTCATTTGACATCCAACAACCTCATTTGAGCCCTCATTAGGTGGATAGCAAGTACCAGGAACTCCCTGTGAGCTTCCTGTTGGGCGACGCAACTCAGGATGAAATGTGTGAGAGCATTGCCACCAACTTCCTGTCCGCAGCTCAGGCACACATCCCTTCCCATTGAGCCATGATTCCACCAGAATTAGTTTAATCAATGGGTTTTCTGCAAACAAACATCTCTTCCTGATCCCTGAAGATAGTCTCAGAATAGCCAATCTCACGATAGCCATCCATTCTCACTTGCTTCCCACTAATAACATCTTTGTTGTCTCAGCAGCACGTGAAATGCCTTCTTTATTAGAAATGCAAAGTATTTTTCTTGGGAAGTAAATGAACAAAAAAAGAATGGGATGCACTGCCCGAGTGGCGTGAAGGAACAAATAAACCAGATAAACTGGATCTAGGGCTGCAATAGCTATCAGCTGACTGCGGATCCCCAGTTGTTCTGCTCAGGCTGACAGTGGAACAGAATATCAGGAAAACTCGATGTTGTAACTTCAGTGGGATGATAGTAGGGTAGTTAGATGATTCTCTTTCTCAAATCCTCTGCCTTGCCCCCTCCTTACCCTCTTTTAGATCATGACTGAAAACCTCCTCTTCGAACATGCTTACAGTCACCTTCTCCCTCCCATCGGCTCGGAGTCAGGCTCCCCCACTATTAAGCGCTACAAGATGCTGCTCCATGTGAAGGGTGTTATATCAATGCAAGTTGTTGTTGTTAATGCATACAGTTCTGATCACACCATAAGGGCACTATCCCGGCCCTTGTCAATTAGTTCAGCGGATAGCAATGAAGCTGATCCCAGTGTTAAAAAAAATGAAGAATCAGCTAGAGCTTTACAAAGAGATGACTCAGAGTGGGCCTTAAAGAGGTATTGATATCATTAGAAATTTACAGCACAGAAGAAGGCCATTCGGCCAATTGAGTCTGCACCAGCTCTCAGAGCAATGTGTTTCTTCAATCACCGGCCCACCCTATCCCACACTCCTTCCAGCCTCTATCCTTCACGGACCTGTTTACTTCCCATTTGAAACTTGAAACCCACAATGGACTCTGTCACTACCACCTCACTCGGCAGGGCATTCCATATCCCAATAATGCTCTTGAGTGAAAAAAATCACCTAAGATCTACTTTTGCACCTTGTGACTATCTTCTAACTATGCCTCATAGTCACTGACTCCTCTATTAATGGAAATAACGTATCCCTGTTTATCCTGTCAAAAATTCTGTTTACCCCTTCGTGGAGTCCTGTAGCTCAGTGGATAAAGCACTCGCTTTGCAAGCGAGATATCTGGGTTCAAATTCCAGGCAGGGCGAAACCTTGGGCAAGTTTCCTTACTCCACACACCTAATAATAATCCCTCCAAAAGACAAAACAATAATAAATTGGTCATTTTCAATCCACGACTGTTTGTGGGACGCTGCTGTGCGCAATTGGCTGCTGTGTTTCGCCCACAAATATACAGCCATTTTCACTTTACAGCATATTCCGTGAAGCGCTTTGAGGCATCCAGGAGACGTGAAAAGTGCTATATCAAATGCAAGGATTATTATTATTATAATCTCTCTTCACAGCTAAAGTATTTATCCATGGTACCATTCTCGTAAATCTTTTCTGCACCTCTTCAAGACCTTAACATCTTTCCTTATGTAAATTGCCCAAAACTGAATGTAGCGCTCCTGCTGCAGGATAAACAATGATTTGTGCATGCATATGAGGTTGATAATGGGATAGACAGTTTCTCCCAGTGTCCTGGCAACTGTGAAGTGGAGTGACTGAATATGCATAGGTGAATGCGGCATCCAATTTGCGCGCAGCAATGTCCCATAAACAGCCATGAAGTGAATGACCAATTTAATCTGGGGGATTTGGACATTGCTGTGTGTAAATTAGCCTCTGCTTTCACCTACAAATACGCAGTGATTATACTTTACAGTAAAATCCTGTAAAGTGACATGATAGGCACTCCACTAAATATAACAATTATTATATATTATTACTATCCAATTCACTTTTAAAAATAATGATGTCACGCTCCATTGAGACATTACTCTGAGACATTACACAGCACAAAGGCACTATATAAATACAAATTGTTGTTATAATTGTACATCGAATTGACTGTTATTTATGTTTTCTGGCTTTTTCCCAATTGTTGATTCAGGAAGGTCTTCCACAGACTCAACTTTTACGTCCCGAATGATGTGATCACTAAAATTGCCCAGTGCTGCCCTGGGGTCGTGGAGCTTGTGTTGAGTACGTTGAAGCAGAAAATCCAGGAGAAACTGAAGCAGAAAGGAAGCAAGAGGAATTCTTCATCGCAGGTGAACAGACGTATAGGACGGGTATTTGACAAAGAAAAGATTTTTACTTGTTTTGGCACACAGTTATGATTTTTTTTAAAACAGAGCCTTATCACGATAACAACAACAAAATTATATTTGTATAGTGCCTTTCACATCAGGAGGATGTTCCAAGGCACTGGACAATCAATGTTTCGTACCCGAGCTGGGAGTCGAGATCGGGGAGGATGGAGGGCAGAGGTGGGAGGAGAGTGATCGAAGGCATGGTTGAAGAGGAGGTCCTTGAGACGGGTCTTGAAGGTGGCAAGGGAGGGGGTGAGGTGGAGGGACTGCGGGATGGAGTTCCAGAGGGTTGGGGCAGAGTGGCTGAATTGACTGTATTTGTGGGTGAAACCTGGCAGCGAATTGTGCACAGCAGTGTCCCACAAAAAATCGTGGATTGAGTGACCAAATTTTTTCTTTTTTTTTGAGGGATTACTACCACTGGAATGTGATCTGCCAATCGACTAATAATGGGGTTCCTACTTACTGCTAGGTAAATAGCGGGGTGTGGAGTAAGGAAACGTTCCTAAGGTTTTGCCCTGCGCAGGAATCAAACCCAGGACGTCGCGCTTGTGAGGTGAGGTGGACATATCAAAGAGCTTCACGGGATTTAGTGTAAAGTGCAGTGACTGTATATTTTGTAGGTGAATGTAGCAGCCAAATTACACACAGCAACATTCCACAAATGGCCATGAAGTGAATGACCAATTTTATGTGGGAGATTTGGCAGACAGGAAGTGAAAGAAACTCCCTTCTCTTTTCAGGTAGTGCAGCGTGATATTTAGCATCCATCTGAATCTGTGGACGGGACCATGGTTTAACATAATATAATAATAATAATCCTTGCATTTAATATAGCGCTTTTCACATCTTATAATAATAATATAATCCTTGCATTTGATATACTTGCAAAACTTACTATATATATAGATACAACAACAACAAGATTGCATTTATAGAGCGCCTTTCACGTCGGGAGGACGTCCCAAGGCGCTGTACAGTTGGGTCAGGACCCGAGCAGGGGGGAAATGGTCAGGGTGAGGGGAGGGAAGGGAGGGAGCGAGGAGGGGGTAGAGAGTTGAGAGGGAGCTGAAGGCACGGTCGAAGAGAAAGGTCTTGAGACCGGCCTTGAAGGAGGAAAGGGAGGAGGCGGTGAAGGCACTGGGGATAGAGTTCCAGAGCCTCGGGGCTGAGAGGCTGAAGGCCCGGCCACCGATGGTAGGGCGGTTGGGGCGGGGGATGTGGAGCAGACCGGAGCCGGAGGAACGGAGGGTAAGGGCAGGTAGGTAGGGGGATAGATAGTAGGTCAGAGAGGTAGGAGGGAGCAAGGCCGTGAATGGCCTTGCTCCCTCCTACCTATATAGATATACTTAATAATAATACTCCTTGCATTTGATATAGCGCTTTTCACGTCTTCTAGGCGTCTCAAAGCGCTTCACAGAATATGCTGTAAAGTGAATTGACCGTATATTTATGAGCGAAATGCGGCAGCCAATTGTGCACAGCAGTGTCCCACAAACAATCGTGGATTGAAAATGACCAATTTATTATTGTTTTGTTTTTTTGGAGGAATTATTATTAGGTGTGTGGAGTAAGGAAACTTGCCCAAGGTTTCGCCCTCTGCCTGGAATTGAACCCAGGTGTCTCACTTGCAAAGCGAGTGCTCTAACCACTGAGCTACAGGACTCCGGTTTGAGATGGACTCCACTTAACATACTTACTAAACTTGACACTAGTTAACTGTAAAGTCATCATTAATTGCTATATATTCATTATAATTAATAATTATTATTAATCCCTGTAGTATTCATTCACTGCTCATCTCTTAGAAATCCATCTTTTTGGGGGGAGGGGTAATAATCCTGTCGGACACTGCTGTGCACAATTGGCTGCTTGTTTCGTGAAGCGCCTTGAGACAATCGACATAATAAATCATTATATCAAATGCAAGTATTATTATTTCAAATCAAGATCCTTGTTCTCTCCTTTAAATCCCTCTACAGATCCACAAACTCTACCAATGGACTAACAACCAGGTTCCTACTTACAGTTAGGTAAACAGAGGTGTGTGGAACAAGGAAACTTGCCTAAGATATTGCACCGCCCAGGAACTTAATCCGGGTCCTCCGGTTTACGAGGCGAGTGCACTCACGATTGCACCCGTCTATTCTGCTCACATGCATCTTCAACTAAGATGGATTGAAAGCCATAATGCCGGATGCATGTGGTCGAAGTTAAAGATTCTTGAAAGTCACAACCACTTATGGTAATCTCTTGTATGTTTTGTTTTGTTTTCTCCAGGACTTAGAATATTACAGCACAACGATGGAGCAAACTTTGGGTAAGAGACAATTAAAATGTTAGAGGGAAATGTGTGGTCAAGAAAACCTTTTGAGTGATCTCACTGTCACTTGATCAAGCAGTGAAGGTTTGTTTGCTATCACAAGGTGTTATACCTTTTTTCAACATAAAAATAATTCCTGGTGTGAAATGGAGTTGAGCGCCTTGGAGCTCAGCTGCCAAGACCACCAAAAGATTAAGTGGTCACAAGATCGGTTTGAATGAAGAAGATCCTTCAGCCCATCTGATCTCCAGAATACCCACCCTACCATTCCCCATCAATTTTCTTTAAAATCAGTCCCAGTGTCCTGGCCTCACTTACCTTCCTGGCAACTTGTGCCACACGTTAATTACCCTCCGAGTAAAGAAAAACATCCTGGTGTCTGTCCAGAAATTGCCACTTTGCAAATCTAAACCTATGTCCTCCTGTTCTATAAATGCAAAGATTATTATTGTTATAACATCCTGTGAAGTGCTTTGAGAGGTCCTGTGAAAGCACGCTACATCAAATGCAAGCATAATTATCATTAAATTTGTTTTCTGCATCTTGCAGAACCTTGCAAAGTCTGTCAAAACTAATAGAATCAAAGAAATTTACACATCAGATTCTGCCCATTCAGCACCAGCTCTCAGAGCAAGCTGTCCATTCAGTCTCGCTGTCCATTCAATATCACTGCCCTGCCCTATCCCTACATCTCTTCAAGCCTCTAATGTAATGGGTCAAATGGAGTGCGATTGAGTCAGGAGCTTTCCATGCTTCTTTGCTTCTGTGTAACGAGAGTCAACACAAATTTGGAAGCTGCGGCAGACAAGGTGATACTGAAGTTTTGTTCTTCCTTCACGTCTCAGGTTATTCTTCTGTGTCACCAAGGCCAAAGACTTACTCCACTGGGGATGGACAGCAAGTTCAACATGGAGCCAAGCTTTCAAAGTAAGATACTATTGGGTTAAACTCCACTCAGATCTGCAGTAATCTTTGGAGTCCTGTAGCTCAGTGGTTAGAGCACTCGCTTTGCAAGTGAAAGACCTGAGTTCAATTCCAGGCAGAGGGCGAAACCTTGGGCAAGTTTCCTTACTCCACACAGAGCCTAATAATAATCCCTCCAAAACAAAACAACAATAATAAATTGGTCATTTTCAATCTACGACTGTTTGTGGGACATTGCTGTGCGCAATTGGCTGCCGCGTTCGCCCACAAATATACAGTCAATTCACTTTACAATGTGTTCTGTGAAGCGCTTTGGGACGTCCTCCCGACGTGAAAAGCGCTATATCAAATGCAAGGATTATTATTATTATTATTATCTGTTCTGTTAGCGCAGTGTTTCAGAGTGGGCAGAATCTGGGAAACTTAGCCTTTAATTTTGAAGCCTATTTCCTGCAGTTCTTAAACAAAACCTACAGAGAAAGACAGCTTCAACTGAGCTAAGAATTTGACCCTTTCTTGAATGCTTTGAAATGTTACGTTAACAGAGTAAATCGAGATCCAGGTGGAATTTCTATCCAAGTAATCCTTAACAATTAAGAATAAGCCACTTAACACGCACCTTTCTCCCTCCAGAAATGACACAGGTCTGTCCTGCTCATCAAATCAATGCATATCCTGTAAGATTACTAGGAGGGTTCAGATAAACAACAACAACAACAACAAGATTCCATTTATAAAGCGCCTTTCACGTCAGGAGGACGTCCCAAGGCGCTGCACAGTTGGGTCATGACCCGAGCAGGGGGGAAATGGTCAGGGTGAGGGAAGGGAAAGGGAGGGAGCGAGGAGGGGGGAAATGGTCAGGGTGAGGGGAGGGAAGGGAGGGAGCGAGGAGGGGGTAGAGAGTCGAGAGAGGAGCTGAAGGCTCGGTCAAAGAGAAAGGTTTTGAGACGGGCCTTGAAGGAGGAAAGGGAGGAGGCGGCGAAGGCACTGGGGGATAGAGTTCCAGAGCCTCGGGGCTGAGAGGCTGAAGGCCCGACCACCAATGGTAGGGCGGTTGGGGCGGGGGACGTGGAGCAGACCGGAGCCAGAGGAACGGAGGGTACGGGCAGGTAGGTAGGGGGATAGTAGTTTGGAGAGGTAGGAGGGAGCGAGGCCGTGAATGGCCTTGTAGGTGAGGATGAGGATCTTGAAATCAATCCTCTGGGGGATAAAGAAAATCCCTTGCGTTTTTCGATCTTGTCCCTCTAGAATATCACCCACCCCTGCAGTTTTCTCATTGTAATCATATTATTATATAATGCCTTCCATTTAATAATCCTTGCATTATATATAGCGTCTTTTGGTCAAGTTGTTGAGACGACTCAAAGCTCTTCACATAATATATTGTAAAGTGAATTGACTGTGTATTTTGTGAGCGAAACTCGTCAGCCAATTGTGCGCAGCAGTGTCCCACAAGCAGTCGTGGATTGAATGACTAATTTTTTTTTAGGAATTTTTACCCCTGGAAAGTGATCCATCAATTGACTAATAACCAGGTTCCTACTCACTGCTAGGTAAACAGATGGTGTCCTCCACACTCCCTGATCCCAAACCCCCCAGCTCAGGTCCAAATTTCTGACTGTCCAGCGCCTTGGGACATCATCCCGACATGAAAGGCACTATACAAATGTAACTTTGTATTGTTTTGTATTCACTTCTTTTCACAGTAAAATTCCTGTGAAGCGCTTTTGTGTGATAAAGCACTGTATCAAATGCGAAAACTATTATTAGATGATTAGTAGTTCTCTTGCGCAACATGTGGAAGGTAAGTAATTCTTGGAAGCTTATCTGATTGATGTTATCTTGATTTAGCAATATAAAGTGAGACTGAATGGCACCATAGCTAAAGGACAACCATTTATCTTTGTTACTGCAACTTTATTGTTGAGATTTTTTCCAAAAACAAGCTCTCATGCTTCGTCAAGCTGCAAGTTTCCTTACTTCACACACTTCTGTTTACCTAGCAGTGAGTAAGAACCTGGTTGTTAGTCAAATGATGATCGGATTTCCAGGGGTAATAATCCCTTCAAAAAATACGTCACTTCAGAATATCCAACAACAACTTGGATTTATATAGCGACCTCCATGGCGGAACGCCGTCTCAGAGCGCTTCACAGTAACGGATCCCGGGGGCCGAGCCAGGGGGAGGGGGAGGAAGGTGACCAAAGGCATGGTCGAAAAGTAAGGTCTTCAGCCAAGACCTGAAAGTGGGAAGAGAGGGGGCGAGGCAAAGGGAGTGAGGAAGGAAGTTCCAGAGACTCGGGGCATAGTGGCTGAAGGCACGGTCGCCGATGGTAGAGCGGAGGACTTGGGGGACAAGGATGAGGCCAGGCCCGGTGGAGCGAAGGCACCTGGCACTGTTGTGAGGAGAGGGGAGGTCAGAGAGGTAGGGGAGTGCAGAGGAGTGGAGGGATTTGAAGACAAGGGTGAGGATCTTGAAGTCGATCCTCTCTGGGACAGGCAGCCAGTGCAGTCTGGCCGGGACTGTCGAGGAGTAGAGTTTGGTGCGGGTGAAAATGCGGGTGGCAGAGTTTTGGATGACATGGATTTTATGAATAAATAAATAATCCTTGCATCTGATATCGCGCTTTCCACGTTTTCTCGACGTCTCAAAGCGCTTCACAGAATAGACTAAAGTGAATTGACCGCATATTTGTGGGTGAAACGTGGCAGCCAATTGCACACAGCAGTGTCCCACAAACAGTCGTGGATTGAAAATGACCAATTTATTATTGTTTTGTTTTGGAAGGATTATTACTTGGCGTGTGAAGTAAGGAAACTTGCCCAAGGTTTCGCCCTGCCTGGAATTGAACCCAGGTGTCTCGCTTGCAAGACGAGTGCTCTAACCACTGAGCTACAGGACTCCACAGTGGAGGGGAGACCGGCGAGGAGGGCATTTGAATAGTCCATCCGAGAGGTGACAAAGGCATGGACCAGGGTTTCAGCGGCTTTTGGGGAGAGGTATTGGCAGAGACGGGCGATGCGTCGGAGATGGAACAAAACGGTGCTGGTGAGGGACCGGATGTGGGGGAGGAAGGATAATTGGGGGTCGAACCTGACGCCGAGGTTGCGTATGGGTTTGAAGAGTTTTAGGGGGAGATCGGGTAATTGGAGGAGATGAGAACCGTGTAATTTTAGACGTTGACGAGAGCCAAAGAGTATAGCTTCCGTCTGTCAACGTTCAGCTGAAGGAAATTCGCACTCGTCCAGCCCCTGAGGTCTGACAGGCAGACTGACAGAACATCAGGGGACTGGGGGTTGCAAAGTGAGATGGAAAAATAGAGTTGGGTGTCGTCCGCATACATGTGGAAGTGTTACCCCCAAGAGGGAGCATATAGATCAGAAAGGGGAGGGGGCCAAGGATGGATCCTTGGGGTACCCCACAGGTAACCGGGTGAGAGCGGGAGGTAAAGCTGTTTGTGCAAATGTATTGCTGGTGGTTCGTGAGGTAGGACTCGAACCAGACGAGTGCGGTCCCACTAAGGTGGATGACGGAGGAAAGGCGGTGGAGGAGGATGGCGTGAACAACTGTGTCGAAAGCAGCAGAGAGGTCCAGGAGGACAAGGAGGCAGAGGGAGCCCTGGTCACAGATAGAGAGGACGTCATTTGAAACTTTCACAAGCGCAGTCTCTGTACTGTGGGTAGGGCGGAAACTGGACTGGAGGGGTTCGAACAGGGAGTGGGGGGAGAGGTGTGCGCGGAGTTGATTGGCAACAATGCGTTCTAGAATTTTTGCGAGGAAGTGCAGGTTAGAGATAGGGCGGTAATGGCCGGGGTTTGAGGGATCTAGGGAGGGTTTTTTGAGGAGGGGGTTGATGACAGCCATTTTGAGGGGGGCAGGGACTGATCCAGAGAAGAGGGACTGGTTGATGACATCAGCCAGTAGTGGGCAGAGGAGGGGGAGCAAGTTTGTGGGGATGGGGTCGAGGCAGCAGGTGATGGTGGGTGAAAGGGAGGAAGGAGAGATGGGGAGGAAGGAATGTAGGATAGGGGTCGTAGTAGGAGCTGATGAGGGGGAGAGGGACGGAGAGTGGGTGGTGGTGGGTGACAAGAGGCAGGAGGATGAGGCTGCCTGGCGGATATTGTGTATTTTGGATGAAAAGTAGTCCATGACCTCCTCGCGCTTGGCATTGGATGTGAAGATTGAGGAAGCCCGAGGGGGGGGCACGGAGGAGGTAGTGGGTGGTGGAAAAAAGGATTTTAGGATTGTTTTTAGACTCCCAAGATGATGTTGGAGTAGAAGGCCATTTTCGCGCATATCCAAAAAACGGTAGCTGTGGAGATGCTCGAGCCACAGTTGGCGGTGAACTGTCAGGACAGTTTTCTGCCATCTGTGCTCGAGCAGCCGGGTTTGGGTTTTTAGGCAGTGGAGATGATTGTTGTACCAGGGGGATCGGGTGGGTTTGGAGATGGTCCTGGATTTCAGGGAGACGAGGAAGTTGAAGGTGGAGGAGAGGCGATCGTGGAACAGCTGGATGGCTGCTTCAGGATCTCCGTGGGTGGAAGGCCAGAGGGTTAGGATATGTGAGGATGTGAGGGCCTTTGTCAGGGTCTTAGGGGGTAGCCTTATCCATGGGCGGTAGAGAATAGTTGAGGGCTTGGTGGAGGAGAGAGGGCTGTGAGAGGAGCAGGAGATGAGGAAGTGATCCGAGATGGCCTTGTCCACTATGCTAAGGTCGGAAATGTCAAGGTCATGGGTGATAACGAGGTCGAGGGCATGGCCATGGTTGTGGGTCGGTGAATTTATGTGAAGGGTGAGGTTTAGGGAGGAGAGGAGACAGTGAAGTCAGAAGAGATGGTGCAAGGGGAGCTTAGGTGGAGGTTGAAATCGCCCATTATGAGCAGATGTTCGGAGCAGAGCGACAGGGAACAGAGGAGAGTAGAGATGTCTGTGTGGAAGGAGCCAGGGGGCTTAGGGGGGCGGTAGACCTGGAGGATTTTCAGTGGGAGAGAGGGGTGGAAGAGGGTGAGATGCTCAAAGGAGGGGAAGCAGCCAGAGGAGTAGGGGGAAAGACCAAGGGAGGCTTTGGAGATGAGGACCACCCCGCCATCACTTTGGTTTGGACGGGGGGGTGTGGTGGAAGGAGTAGCCTGGAGGGGAGCCTTCAACTAGGGGGACGGGGTCATTGGGAGAGAACCAGGTTTCTGTGAACCCAAGAAATGTCAAGGTGCTCATCCAGGATGAGGTCGTGGATGGTAAAGGCTTTGTTTGAGAGGGAACAGACATTTTGGAGGAAATGCGGGTGGTTTTGCTGGTGGGAGGAAAGGGAGGAGAGAGTGATACGGAGAGGATTTTAGGATATACAGAAGAGTTGGTTGTGGAGAATGGTGGGAGTGGAGAGTTGGGGAGGGTACGTATGAGGCAGGGGGAAGTTAGATTTGCCTTGAGGCAGTTTGTGCGGAGGCAATGAATGATTTGCACCCTCTCCAATGCCTTGACATCCTTCCTGAAGTGTGGTGCCCAGAACTGAACACATTACTCTCGCTGAGGCCTAACAGGTGTTCTATAAAGATTCATAACTTCCTGACTTTTGTATTCTATGCCCCTATTTATAAAGTCAAGTATCCCGTATTGTTCATAATTCGACAGGTGGTGGTAAGAGTATAGAGTTTGTTGCACAAGATGAAAAATAAGGTTTTAAATCTGTAATCAAATTATACTACATATAACAACACAATAACAATACAACACATCCATGTGAGCAAACATTTACCACACAGCATGAACACAGGTTGCTCAGTACTCCAGACAAACAACACACCCCAAAATACACAGCAGAGATCAGCACCTGGAAAACCCTCAGGGACAACTTATTCTGCAACACAAAACTTCAGAAGACAGACAATTCCCAGGACTGTCTTTTAACCGGCACCGGTACAGAGTTCAGCTTCTGGAATCACCCTTCAGATAAAGCTGATCCTCACAGTACCTTGCAGCCCTTAGCACAACAACAACAACAAAATGACATTTGTAAAGCGTCTTTCACATCGGGAGGACGTCCCAAGGCGCTGGACAGACAGAGTTTCGGACCTTAGCTGAGGGTCAGGGTGCGGGAGTGGGGAGGGTGGTGGGTAAGCAGGGAGATCGAAAGCACGGTCGAAGAGGAGGGTCTTGAGGTGGGATGACACCCAACTCTACCTTTCCTCCTCTACTCTCAACTCCACGACCCCGATGTCCTGACAGCCGCCTGTCCGACATCGAGTCTTGGACAAGAGACAACTTTCTTCAGCTCAACGTGCGAAAAACCGAGGCCCTCCTGATTGGCTCACGTCAGCGCCTCCGCACCTCAGGCGCTGACAGCATCAGCATCCAAGGCTGCACTCTCCACCTCTCAAAGCCATCAGGAACCTCGGGGTTTGTTCGACCTGAGCTGTCCTTTCTCCCTCAAATCCGCACCACAACTGGCACCGCCTTCCATCACCTCCGGAACATCGCCAGACTACGGCACTACCTCACCCCTCACGCGGCTGAAGCTCTGGTCCACGCCTTTGTCACCTCAAGGCTGGACTATGGGAACTCTCTCCTCGCCGGCCTTCCCGCCACCTCCCTCCACAAGCTGCAGGTCATTCAGAACTCTGCAGCTCGTGTACTGTCCCGCACCAGGCTTCGCGACCACATCACTCCCACCCTCGCTCGCCTCCACTGGCTCCCCATCCCCCAGAGGATCGAATTCAAGATCCTCATCCTCACCTACAAGGCCATTCACGGCCTTGCTCCCTCCTACCTCTCAGACCTACTATCCCCCTACCTACCTGCCCGTACACTCCGTTCCTCTGGCTCCGGTCTGCTCCACGTCCCCCGCCCCAACCGCCCTACCATCGGTGGTCGGGCCTTCAGCCTCTCAGCCCCGAGGCTCTGGAACTCCATCCCCCAGTGCCTTCGCCGCTTCTCCCTCTTCTCCTTCAAGGCCGGTCTCAAAACCTTTCTCTTTGACCGTGCCTTCAGCTCCCCTCTCGACTCTCTTCCCCCTCCTCGCTCCCTCCTTTCCCTCCCCTCACCCTGACCATTTCCCCCCTCCCTTCCCTCCCCTCACCCTGACCATTTCCCCCTGCTCGGGTCCTGACCTAACTGTGCAGCGCCTTGGGACGTCCTCCTGACGTGAAAGGCGCTTTATAAATGGAATCTTGTTGTTGTTGTTTTTGTTGTCTCGAAGGGGGCAAGACGGAGGGACTGTGGGATGGAGTTCCAGAGGGTGGGTGCAGAGTGGCGGAAGGTCCGCCCGCTAATAGTGGAGTGAGCAAGGCGGGGGACGTGAACCAGGCCAGAGCCTGTTGAGTGGAGAAAGTGAACAGGATGGTAGGGGGCAGCAAGACCATGGAGGGCTTTGAAGGTGAGGATAAGTGGTCCTGGAGTCAAGGGTGGAGGCAGAGAGATAGAGTTGGGTGTCATCTGCATACATGTGGATGTTGACTCCATGTCTGCAGATGATGTCACCAAGAGGGAGCATATAGATATTGAAGAGGAGGGAACCAAGGACAGAGCCCTGAGGAACACTGCACAAGATGGTCCGGGGGCCAGAGGAGAAGCTGTTTGAGGAAATGAAGTGCAGGCGGGTGAGAGGTATGATAATAATAATCCTTGTATTTGATAGAGCGCTTTTCACGTCTTCTTGCCGTCTCAAAGCGCTTCACAGAATACACTGAAAGTGAACTACAGTTAAATTAAATTAATTAAAGTGAATTACGATCTGAACCAATCAAGAACAGCGCTACGGAGTTTGAGGTTGGAGGAGAGGTGGTGGATAAGTGATCGACGTTTCAGAAGCAGCAGATAAGTCAAGGTGGCAGAGGGACCCCTGGTCGCAGATGGACAGAATATAATTTGTCACTTTGACGAGGGTGGTTTCTGTGGGCGGCACGGAAACCTCATTGGAGGGGTTCGAGAAGGGAGTGGCGGGAGAATAATAATAATAATAATAATAATCCTTGCATTTGATATAGCGCTTTTCATGTCAGGAGGACATCCCAAAGCGCTTCACAGAACACACTGTAAAGTGAATTGACTGTATATTTGTGGGCGAACGCGGCAGCCAATTGCGCACAGCAATGTCCCACAAACAGTCGTAGATTGAAAATGACTAATTTATTATTGTTTTTGGTTTTGGAGGGATTATTATTAGGCTCTGTGTGGAGTAAGGAAACTTGCCCAAGGTTTCGCCCTCTGCCTGGAATTGAACTCAGGTCTCTCGCTTGCAAAGCGAGTGCTCTAACCACTGAGCTACAGGACTCCACAGGACTCTACAGGAATGAAGCTGAGAAGCAACAACTCGACCTTGGAGAGGAAGGAGTGATTGGAGATGGGATGGTAGTTAGGGAGTAGAAAAGGGTCCAGGGAGGTTTTTTTTAAGGATAGGAGTGATGACAGCGTTTTTTAAAGGGGTGGGAACAGTACCAGAGTACAGGGAAAGATTAACAATGTCAGTGATTAGGGGGGGCAAGGAGGTGGAGCTGGGAGGTAAGGAGGGGATAGGGATGGGGTCGAGGGAGCAGGTGGTGGGTTTCCTACAGGTTATGGTGGTGATGAGAGAAGAGGGGGAGACAGGTTGAAAGGTGTGGAGGAAGGGGTGGTTAGGGGCTGAGGTGGGAGGAGGAGGTAGGGAGGGGGTAGCAGTTGCAGTGGCAGAGGCAGCTGAGTGGATTCCCTCGACTTTGGATTCAAGGAAGTACAGCATCGTACTGACGATACAGGGATGACAACACGTATCCAGGGACTGTTTTGTACTCCAGACTAAACAGTAAACCTGGGATCACAACTTGACATATAGTGGAGAGGTCACAGAGCTATCACACAGAATCATGGAGAGTGGCTCCAGGAAACCCAACAGAAGCAATCAGCTCTGAGCCCAGCACCTCACTCGTACTGTCTAACCTGACTTCTGTGTTTCAAATGGACAAACCACTACTACTGTTGTTACTTCTGTGCCGAGCAGACAGAACCGAAAACATATTACCCACTACTCCATTATCAATGAGATAATAATTATCTCATTATTGCTGAGGCAATGAACAATCAGGTCGTATACTGAAGGACCCGATTGCTCATTATCTCAGAGGAGTGAACACCTTCCCAGGAAAATATTAAATGTAATCAGAAGCTCACCTCAGCCCGTCAAGCAAAGCTACTTTTAACCATTTAACAATCAAACCTTCTGGAACATTCGATTGCTGTTTGAAATATACCAAGGTGATAGTCGGTATATTTCAACAGTATGCTTTTTTAACAGCTTTATCTCCCTGTCCTGCCACCTTCAAAGATTTACTGATATGAACCCCCAGGTCTCTCTGTTCCTTCACCCCCTTTACGATTCTACCATTAGCTTATATTGCCTCTCCTTATTCTTCCTCCCAAAATGCATTACTTCGCATTTCTCCACATTAAACATTGTCTGCCACGTCTCTGCCCATTTTACCAGTCTGTCTATGTCCCCTTGCAGTCTGCTACTATCCTCCTCACTTTTCACTACTTTTCCTAGCTTAGTATGATCTTGGATGTTGTACTCCCTATACCCAAGTCCAGGTCATTTATTTAGATCAAAAACAGCAATGGTCCCAATACTGCCCTGGGGGACATAACTGCACACTTCCCTCCAGTCAGAAAAACAACCATAAAGTTATCACAATGCTTTTTTTTAATGATCTATTCTTTTTTTTAGTCCAATGAACCCTTGGCCTGCAAATTGCCCGCCAAGCCAGCAGCTGTCCCCTGAAGTGCAAATCTTACTAGCAGAGAAACAGCAGGAGCTGCTGGCATCGCAAGAGACCATTCAGGTACAGGGGGTGCAACATTAACCAATACGGACAACAACAACATATTGCACTTATAGCGCCTTTCACATCAGAAGGATGTCCCATACAGGGTTTAGAAATGTGTAGCTTTGTTTCCGTCCCATCAGCGGGCACCAGCCCTCTGTGTCCATTTCGCCTCCCTCCACTCTGCCCCCCCCACCTTTCATAAAAGTGAGCCAGCAATGGAAACACAATGGATAGAATTAAGGAACAGCAAAGGAGGCAAGACTCTGGTGGGAGTTGTCTTCAGATGTCCAAATAGTAGTGATGGAGTGGGAGGATGTATAAATACAGAGATCAGGGAAGCATGTAGTTATAATGGGATTATAACTATAATGGGAAGCAATGTGGTTATAATGGGATTAATGGGTTAGTTTTCACGTAGATTGGGAGAAGCAGAACAGCTCAAGCAGTAAAGGCAACAAATCTAAAATGTAGTCAAGACAGTTTTCTGGAAAAATATGTTTTAGAACTGATAAGGGAACTTGTCATACTAGATTTGGTGATGATTAATGAACCAGAATTAGTTAACAATCTGACGGTTAAAGCAAAGTACTTTAATAAGGATTTAGTATAAATTTTAAAACAGATAATAATAATCCTCGCATTTGATATAGCGCTTTTCGCGTCTTCTAGACATCTCAAAGCGCTTCACAGAATATACTATAAAGTGAATTGACTTTTTGTGTGTGGGCGAAATGGATGTCATCTATATGGACTTTCAGAAGGCATTTGATAAGGTTCCGCACCTTATAAGAGGTTATTTGCAAAAATAAAAGCGAATGGAGTCGGAGGTAACCTTGTGACATGGCTTGGTAATTGGTTGGGAAGCAGAAAACCGAGAATAGGGATAAATGGAGCGTTCTTTGATTGGCGGGTTGTGATAAATAGTGTTCCCCAGGTTTCTGTACTGGGGCCTCAGCTTTTCACCATATACATATGAAAGACTTGGATGGAGGAATAGGGAGTTTTATTTCCAGATTTACAGATAACACAAAGTTAGGAGGCACAGTAAGTTGTGTGGATGGGAGCAGGAAGTAACAAAGGGACTTTTAAGAACCTCGGCGTCCTGTTCAACACTCAAATGTCCTTCATTCCCCCACATCCGTGCCATGATCTGCTCCGACTTTCCCCACCTCCGCAACAATGGCCGGCTCTGCCACTGTCTCACATTGCACGCCGCCAAGCCCCTCAACCATGCATTCATCACATCTAGGCTCGATTACACAAAATCCCTGCATGTCGGCCTCCCCAACTTCTCCCTCCACAGGCTGCAGATCATCCAGAACTCTGTAGCCCAAGTAATCTCCCGCACCAGCCTCCATCTTATCACCCCTATCCCCGCCCGACTCCACTAGCTCCCCTTCACTCAATACAAATCAAGATCCTGATCCTCTTCAAAGCCCTCCACGGTCTTGCTCCTCACTACCTCTGTGACCTCCTAAACCTCTACCAACCTGTCCGCTACCTCCGGTCAACGAGCTCTGGCCTGCTTCACATCTCCCACCTTGCCTCCGGAGGGCGTACTTTCAGCCTCAAAAACTGTCTCAAGACTTTCCTCTTCAACCATGGCTTCGGTCACTCTCCTACCCTTCCCAGCCTCCACCCCTCCTGATCCCAACCACTAGCTCGGGTCCGAAACACTGACTGTTCAGCGCCTTGGGACGTCCTCCTAACATGAAAGACGCTATACAAATATAAGTTGTTGTTGTTAGATAGATTAAACAAATGCGCAAAACTGGCAGATGGAATTCAAAGCAGAATATTTTCTTAAAGGGGAGAAACTAAGAACTGAAGAAGCAATGGGATTTGGGTGTCCACGTGCACAAATCACTAAAAACTAGTTTACAATTACAAAAAGTTATCAAAAAGGCTAATGAGACGTTGGCCTTTATCTCAAGGGGTCTGGCATATAAAGGAGAGGAAATGATGTTTCAACTATACAGAGCCTTGGTCAGACCCATCTGGAGAACTGCATTCAGGTTTGGGCATCACACCTCAGGAAGGATATATTGACTGCAGGGGGTGCAATTCAGATTCCCCAGATTGATCCCAGGGCTTAAACGGTTAAATTATGAGAACAGGTTGCATAAGCTTGGTCTGTTTTCCCTTGTAGAAGGTTAAGGGATAATCTGGTTGAGGGTTATAAAATGATAAAGGGATTTGATAAGGTAGCTACAGAGAAACGATTTCCTCCAGTGTGAGAGGAGTCCAGTCACGACACTTTTGTTCATGTCTTCATCACCTCCAGGCTCAACTATGCAAATGCCCTGCTTGTCGGCCTTCCCAACTCCTCCCTCCACAGGCTGTAAATAATCCAGAACTCTGCAGCCCGTGTCCTCTCTTGCACCAAACTCAGTGACCCCATCTCACCCATTCTTGCCCGACTCCACTGGCTCCCTATCCTTTAGAGGATCCAGTTCAAAATCTTGGTCCTCACGTACAAAGCCCTCCATGGCCTCACCCCACCCTACCTCTGCGAACTCCTAACCCCCTACCAACCCGACCGTTCCCTCAGCTCAGCGGGCTCCGGCCTGTCCCCCGACCTACCCGCCCCCACCATTGGTGGGAGAGCCTTCAGCCACTCTGCCCCCAACCTCTGGAATTCCATCCCCCAGTCACTCTGCCTTACCCACTCCTTAGCCTCCTTCACGTCCCGCCTCAAGACCCTCCTCTTCGGCCACCCCCCTTCCCCTCCCCTCCCTTAACCCCCCCAACCCCAGCTCAGGTCTGAAATGCTGTACACTGTCCAGCGCCTTGGGATGTCCTCCCGACGTGAAAGGCGCTATACAAATAATAATATTAATAATAATCCTTGCATTTGATATAGCGCTTTTCACGTCTTCTAGACGTCTCAAAGCGCTTCACAGAATATACTGTAAAGTGAATTGACTGTATATTTGTGGGCGAACGCGGCAGCCAATTGTGCACAGCAATGTCCCACAAACAGTCGTAGATTAAAAATGACTAATTGTTTTTTTTTGTTTTGGAGGGATTATTATTAGGTGTGTGGAGTAAGGAAACTTGCCCATGGTTTCGCCCTGACCTGCCTGGAATTGAACTCGGGTCTCTCGCTTGCAAAGCGAGTGCTCTAACCACTGAGCTACAGGACTCCAATTGTAATCTTGTTGTTGTTGTTTTATAGTGAAATCCTGTGAAGCGCTCCCTCATTTGTATAAACTTACATGTCCCGTTTCAGATACTGCAGGTCAAAGTACGCCGTCTCGAGCACCTGCTGTACCTGAAAGATGTGAGGATCAATGACCTGACACGACGCATGCAACAGCGCGAGCAGAGATAGAGGGGGAGGGGAGCGCTCAGAGCATTGGGTTGGCTCCTGATGTCTGCTGTCACGCCTTTCCCCGAAAATGTTTCAAAAACATATGGAAACGGCAGTGTGCATTAACTAATGACTTGGCCAAAAAAGGAACAGCCTGCAGGCTCTGCCAGGGCGGCCTGACACCGAGAAACAGGTTTAACCTGAAGGCATTGACATGGAATCCCTGTGGGTGAGAGACAACTAAGTTGTTGGAACAAACATGCCACAGCATTAATAGTCGTAATATGAAAAGTAATCCAATGCCTAGTGATCCGAATGCAAAACAGCAGATCAAACCATCCTTTCCTTCACAAGAGAATTTTTGGTGAAGATGGTTATTTGGCCATTCGATTACATCCTTGCCAAATACCTACCCAACCGTCTCGCCGATATGAATTCAGCCAGCTTCCCAGCCTCTGCCGCCTTTTCCCAGTGCAGTGACCTCTTCTGGCAGTTGGTCATCCACCTGTGTGAATGTGAGGAGATACTTCCTGGTGTCTGTCCACAGTTTGCTCTTCCAAAACCATGAGCTGACCGTGGTGAGTCTTCCCGTCTGCTACTTTTGACCGAGCGAGGTTAGAATTGGGAGGCGGGGTGGGGAGGTAATGGGGCAAAGAGAGAGCTGACACTGGTGATGTCTGACAAGCTGGTGTGCACTAGCCCACCAAGATCATAGAAACTGAGCCTTTCAGCCTTTGTTTCTGTGCTACTCTCATGCTCTTTTATAGATATGTATATACAGTATATGTATGTGTATATATATATATGCACGCACACACTCACAAATGTCAGGTGATATCAAAGGGCAGGAATCCGACTAAAGGAGTTTCACCTTCACGATCAATCGGCAGTTGGTTTCAACACCTTACAACAACAATAATTTTATAGCATTTATATAGCTTCCTTCACACAGGGTAGTTTCTCAGAGTGCTTGGACAACAAGGTTTTGCTATCTTTTTTCCTTCTCCTCCACTCCCACCCACCCCCCCCCCCCCCCACCCCAGTCACTCAATAATTTAAGCAATATTTCAACTGAGGAAACATTCAGTGAAGAGTTTTGCTTGCACCAACCAGCAATCTGTCTGGCTATATGAAGTGGATGGTACATTTTCATACGCACAATAAAGTGTGTCACCAATGTATTTCGCTTTTATACCTTGGACCTGTCTAAGACTTGTATGTTACAGAACTTGACGTGAAAAAGGATTGTATGGAACTGCTATTTTAGTAAAGTGCTTTTATTTTCTATAAAAAAGGAATCTGTGTTTCTTTAAATCATGAGATGGATTAAGCTTTTCAGTTTGTCGTTAATTTATTTCTGTGCTCACACTGAATGAAAATGTGCTTGCATATATGTTCATATGCGCGTTGATGTGTCAGAATAGTGTGCGTATATTTGCCCATGCATGCACATGTGTGTATGTGTGTGTGTCCATACAAACATGTGCATCTGTGCGTCAAGTGCTTTGAAATATCAATTTGATGTGAAAGGTGCTGCATTATTGTTAATTGTATTGTGTTTTATGTGGTGGGTGCTCGAATAATAATAATAATAATAATCCTTGCATTTGATATAGTGCTTTTCACGTCAAGAGGACGTCCCAAAGCGCTTCACAGAACACACTGTAAAGTGAATTGACTGTATATTTGTGGGCGAACGCGGCAGCCAATTGCGCACAGCAATGTCCCACAAACAGTCGTAGATTGAAATTGACCAATTTATTATTGTTTTTGGTTTTGGAGGGATTATTATTAGGTGTGTGGAGTAAGGAAACTTGCCCAAGGTTTCGCCCTCTGCCTGGAATTGAACTCAGGTCTCTCGCTTGCAAAGCGAATGCTATGACCACTGAGCTACAGGGCTCCACGCACTACATAATAAGGCGTTAACTGTTTGATCTTTCACTTTATGGCTGTAAATCTTGCAATAAGACAAAAGCATCCAGGAGTTTGATGTTGTCATGTAAGGATCTAGCTCTGGTTTATCTAAACATTGTTAGGGCTTATTTCTGAGAATCAGATAGACTAACTAAGAATACTGTAATAAGATCCCAGAGGCAGATCAAAGCGGTAATCTCCAGAATTAGAACTATAGACAATTTACTAGATTGCAGAAGGCTATTCTTATTGCAAAACATATTAAGGGATATGGGGATGGCAGTGTCAGGTTATTAGCTGGAGTTAGATTAGAAGATCAGCCATGATTGAATGGCGGGACAGGCTCGAAGGGACAAATGGCCTACTCCTGCTCCTACAAAAAAAAATTCATTCCATTGTGTCTGTGTTGGTTCTTTCAAAGAGCTATCCAATCAGTCCCATTGAACTGACCTTTCTCCTGTAGCCCGGCAAATTATTAATAATAATCCTAGTGTTTGATATAGCACTTTAACACATCGTTAAGACTTATCAAAGCGCTTCACAGAATATACTGTAAAGTGCATTGACTGTATATTTTGTGGATTAAATATGCAGCCAATTTGCACAGAGCAATTTCCCACAAACAGCCATGAACTGAATGATCAATTTTATTTGGGGTATTTGTTAGCCAGGACAACTTCTATAATAATAATAATAATCCTTGCATTTGATATAGCTCTTTTCATGTCTTCTAGACGTCTCAAAGAGCTTCACAGAATATGCTGTAAAGTGAATTGACTATTTTTGTGGGCGAATTGCGGCAGCCAATTGCGCACAGCAGTGTCCCACAAACAGTCGGGGTTTGAAGTGACTAATTTATTATTGGTTTTTTTTGAGGGATTGTTATCAGTCTTGTGGAGTAAGGAAATTTACCCAAGATTTCATCCTGCCGGGAATCGAATCCAGATCTCTCGCTTGCAAAGCGAGTTCTCTAACCGCTGAACTGCAGGACTTCCACAGCTACAGGTTCTCTTTGAACATTGCCATGAGATCTTTAACGTTCACCTGAACAGGCAGATGGGACCTTGGATTCACGTCTCATCCAAAGGACGGCTCCTCCGACACTGCAACACCCCCCAGCACTGCATTGGAGTGTCAGCATTGACCAGGATGGTCAAACTTTAGGGCTGAGGAGAACCGGATGCCAGATTTGAGAAACTGCTATGGCCTGCCTAAGCAATATTTTTGTGTTTCCCTTCCAGAAACATAAGAATCATACAGGAATTCTGTTTTAAATTGTATTAATTAATTTTGCTATATTTTAGATACAATGCAAATGTTTTAAATAGGCAATCTAAATATACATACAATTTTTTAAAGAATAATACAGACAGCGCTGAGGTCTCTATCTGTGTGTGTGTGTGTCTCTGTATCTGTCTGTGTATGTGTCTCTGTATCTTTCTGTGTGTCTCTCTGACCCTGTGTGTGTATCTTTCTCTGTGTGTATCTCTGTATCTTTCTATGTCTCTGTGTGTGTGTCTCTCCGACTCTGTGTGGGTGTCTCTCCTCTATCTGTCTGTGTCTGCCTGTCTGTCTGTCTGCCTGTCTGTGTGTATCTCTCTCTGTCTATGTGTGTCTCTGTATCTGTCTCTCTATATCTCTGTGTGGTGTCTCTCTCCCTCTGGCTGTCAGTGTGTGTGAGTGTATGTCTCCCCGTCTGTGTTTGTATGCGTGTTTCTCTCCCCGTCTGTGTGTGTGTATGTGTCTCTCTCTCTTCACGTGTTTGTGTGTGTGTGTATTTCTCTCTCTCTCTCTCTCTCTCCCCGTCTATCTGTCTGTGTATGTCTCACTCCCCACCCCCCCCACCCCCGTCTGTGTGTGTATGTGTCTCTCTTCCTCTGTCTGTGTGTGCGTCTCTATCTCCCTGTTCAGTCGGTGTGTGTGTATCTCTTTATGTGTCTCTGTATCTATCTCTCTATCTCTGTGTGTCTCTGACATTGTGTGTGTTTGTGTGTCTCCGTCTGTCTGTGTGTATCTCTCTCTCTGTCTATATGCATCTCTGCATCTGTCTCTTTATATCTTTGTGCGAGTGTGTCTCTCTCCTCCTGTCTGTCAGTGTGTGTGTATGTCTCCCCTTGCCTCTCGCCGTGTGAGTGTGTGTGTCTCCCCATCTGTCTGTATATTGTATGTGTGTCTCTCTCTCCCCTCCCGTCTGGATATGTACGTGTGTCTCTCGCTCAGCCACTACACCCTAAACTGTGGAACACTCCCTCAACCCCTCCGCCTTGCCCCCTCTCTCCCCTTTTTCAAGCCCTGCCTTAAAATCTAACCGTGCCTATGGTCACCTTCCCTCCCCCCCAGGCTCAGAGTCAGGCTCCGCCACTATAAAACGCCCTGAGATGCCAAGATGTGGAGGGCGCTATATAAGTGCAAGTTGTTGTTGTGTGTGTCTCTCCCTCTGTCTGTGTGTGTCTCTCTCTCCCCTCCCGTCTGTGTATGTCTGTGTGTGTGTGCCTCTCTCTCTCCCCTCCCCTGTCTGTGTGTGTATGGGTGTGTCTCTCTCCCGTGTGTGTGTGTGTGTGTATGTATGTATGTATGTATGTCTCTTTCTCCCCGTGTGTGTATGTCTCTCTCCTCGCCCCACCCCCCCGTGTATGTATGTGTCTCTCTCTTTCTCCCTATCTGTGTGTGTATATGTATGTCTCTCCCTATGTATGTCTCTCACTGTCTCCCCTGTCTGTCTATGTATGTATGTCTCTCTCTCTCTCCCCCTGTGTGCATGTGTTGTGTGTGTCTCTCTCTCCCCCTATCTGTGTGTGTGTGTATGTATGTATGTCTCTCTCACCTTGTGTGCGTATGCCTCTCTCTCTCCCTCTGTCTGTGTATTTGTGTATATAATAATAATAATCCTTGCATTTGCTATGCGCTTTTCACGTCGGGAGGACGTCCCAAAGCGCTTCACAGAACACACTGTAAAGTGAATTGACTGTATAGTTGTGGGCGAACGCGGCAGCCAATTGCGCACAGCAATGTCCCATTGAAATTGACCAATTTATTTTGGTTTTGGAGGGATTATTATTAGGCTCTGTGTGGAGTAAGGAAACTTGCCCAAGGTTTCGCCCTCTGCCTGGAATTGAACTCAGGTCTCTCACTTGCAAAGCGAGTGCTCTAACCACTGAGCTACAGGACTCCACAATGTTTCTGTCTTTCCCCCATGTATGTATGTCTCTCTCTGCCCCTGTCAATGTCTGTGTGTTTGTGTATCTCTCTCTCTGCCCGTCTGTGTGTGTGTGTGTCTCTCTCTCTCTCCCCCTATCCGTGTATGTCTCTCTCCCGGTGTAGTGTATATTTTTCTCTCTCCCAAGGTGTGTGTGTCTCTTTCCCCCAACCTTTTTGTGTGTGCGTGTCTCTCTCTCTCTCTATCCCCCTATGTGTGTGTCTTTCTCTCTCCCCCCTGATTGTGTCTCTCTCTCCCCCTGTGTGTGTGTGTCTCATTTTCTCTCTTCCCGGTCTGTGTGTGTGTCTCTCTCCACCTGTTTCTGTGTGTATGTGTCTCTCTCCCTGTGAGCCTGTGTGTGTCTCTCTCTTCCATATGTGTGTGTGTGTCTCTCCCCTTGTCTATGGGTGTTTCTATGTGTGTGTGTCTTTCTGCCCGTCAGTGTGTGTGTGTGTGTCCCTCTCCCCGTCTGTCTGTCTGTTTGTGTCTCTTTCCGACTTTCTGTCTGTGTGTCTCTCTCTCCCTTTCTGTCTGTCTGTGTGTATATGCTTTGGGACGTCCTCACAACGTGAAAGGCGCTCTATAAATGTAATTTTGTTGTTGTTGTTGTTGATGTCTCACTCTCTCTCTCTCCCCCTGTCTGTGTGTGTGTGTCTCTCTCCCCACTTCTGACTGTCTGTATGTATGTCTCTCTCTCTCTCCCCGTCTGTGTGTCTGTGCCTCTCCCCGTGTGTGTGTGTTTCTCTCCCTCTCTCTCCTCTTATCTCCCCGTTTTCCTCTGCCACATTGCCCGTCTCCGACAATACCTCACTCCATAAGCTGCTGAAACCCTTGTCCATGCCTTTATCACCTCTCGCTTGCACTACTCTAACACTCTCCTCGCTGGTCTCTCCTCCTCCATTATTCACAAAAT